TTGAGCGTGACACGGCCCACAGAGAGCTGCTTCTCGCCGTCTTTGAACGGGGGTTCGTGGGACACAAGCGCGTGCTCGGCCACGTCGGGCGGAATGCGCAGCGCCTGCGCAATGGTCTGGCCAAGGTACTTGCGCACGCGGCCGTCCTTGACACTTCCAGCAAAACAGTCCACAGCATCAAGGAAGATGCCAATCATGTCCGTCTCCGTCACTGTCCTTGAGGCAGCCGACTGTCCCGAGCCGGAACGGAAAAGAACATGGTGTAGTCGCCGGCACCACTTCATGAGGTCACGCAGGGTCATGGGCCGCTCAATGGCGGCCGGCGAGAGTGAGCTGTTCTTCTTGGATGACAGGGCCGTCAGCTGGTCAAAGACGGCAAGGATGTCGGCTGCAAGGGCTTGCAGATATGGGAAGCTGTCGTAGACAACTTGCCGCAGCTCCGTTGGCGGCAGCGGCTGCACCGCGAGCTGCCGCCAAAGCCGCTCACCAAGCAAGGAGCGCGTCGTCTCCTGGCCGTTGAGGCCTAGGGTGGTACGGACCGTAGCAAAAATGCGGAAGTTGCGAGCGGCCTTGATCGTCTCGCGGCGGCTGGGGATGAGCAGCTCGCGACGCTCGATCAGCGGGAGGATGGTGCTCATGACCTCGTTGGGTGCGCGGTCAAGGTCCTCAATCAGCACCCAGCGGCCCTCCTGCACCGCAACGGTCAAGATTCCCGGACGCCACTGGAACGAGCCCGGCTTTGTGCCGGCCGAGTAGAGACCAATGAGTGTCTTGGCATCGGTCTGCTCGTTGAGGTGCAGGGTGACGAGGCCGGCCTCCATGCCGAGCTCGCGTGCAGCCTCGCGGACCACAGACGTCTTTCCAGAGCCCGGTAGGCCACGCAGCAAGATTGGCTGGGGATGTTGCAAGCACTGTGCTAGAGATTCGAGGTTGCGGAGCGTGTTCGACGTCTTGACAAGTGGCGAGTGCTGGGTCGAGGCGGTCGTGCCGTCCAGCGCCGTGTCTGCAGCAGGACGTGGGATGACGCTGCGACCCCATGCACTGACGAGGGGTGTGAGAGATAGGACTAGAGGCAAACCCTCTGCCTCGTTGTCCACAGCATCCTCCTCTTTTGTCTGACTGGGGGGAGACTGAATGGCAAGGACCCGGTCATGCAGTTCTTTGCACCGGGTATGTTCATAAAGCGTGAGGAAGGTATAGTCGGCCTGGACGCCGTCGAAATCAGCCACCAAGGAGTCCCCCTCAAGTATGCATTGTCGGAGGACACTCTCCAGTTTAAAGTCGGCCGCGGCGTGCACGAGGCAGAAGATGCGAATGGAGAGAAAGCGGACGGGCGGAGAGGTATGGTGGAAGAGCGACTGGAGGCCCGCGGGCACGAGCTGGGCGTAGGCCGAAGCGTCGAGGTTCACCAGACGCCACAGGAGGAGGAGAATGCGGACAAGGTCGGAGTCTGGCGGCGGGGCGGTGGCCGAGGTAGAGTGTGACGTAGACTGTGAGGCGGAAGGGGACGGGGAAAAAGAGGTGCTTTTTTCGTTCGGAGCGGCGTCGTAGAGAGTGGACAGGGTATGCAGGAGAGGTACGGTCGTCGAGGAACTTGGCTTCGCAGCCACGGCTGTTTCGTCTAGGTACTTGTCCAGAAGGACCGACAGGTAGGGTGCCAGTGGGAGGATTCTGGCAAAAGCAGCGAGGACAGCGTCGTCCTGAACGCCTCGGCGGGAGTGAAGCAGCCACCGTGCGCAGATGTCGGCAAAGAGGGGTTCGAAATGGGCAAAGAGGGGCCCGGTCAGACGCGGCAGCAGTGCCGCTTGGGCTACAGCGTCCAGAAAGCTGGCCGCGGCTTGTGGTTGCGGCGTTGGCGTGGACGATGTCGAAGTGGTCGCCGTTGAGGATGCAGACGGCGGTTGGCTCTGGAGGGCACGCAACAGCGCAGGAGGCAGCAGGGCCAGTGTGGTCGCGTCGGCCAGCAGAGAGTGCCTCTGTGGCGATACGTCGTACACACCCATGGCTAGCCAAAACGAATCGGTTTCAGAGTGTGTGTGGTGGTGTTATGTCATGTTTTGTCCCGTTGCATGCAACTTTTTTGGCGGCCGTTTTGGTGATGCAAAGTAGGCCGAATTTGGGGCAGGCACGCATTGGACGCAGGGTCGCTACTGCTGCTTTTTTTTTTTCTGCCGGGCAGTTGGCCTTATCGATAAGAGCGGTCGCGCTTTCCATCACCAAAAGAGCTGGCAAGCTGCCAGGTGCCCCACTGGACTCCAGCGAGCCAATCACGGCAGGCCAATGCGAACAGCGGAAAAATCCCTTAATTTTTTTCAACGTCGGCCGATTCAGTCGACATTCAGACGCCACGCGACCACACCCGCGACCACAACCTCCGCCCTCGCGCACCATCGCATCTCTTTTTCTCCGTCTTTGTTTTTCGATATCGACTCTCAGTTCTTCTGTTTCCCGCGTCGTCTCTCCCCACCCACCCCTCACAATGTCGATGACCTGCCGCTACGCAGCCCAGCGCTGCGCACAACAGCTCCGGACGGCAAGCCTCGTCCGCCCGAGCGGCGCCATGGCGTCCTTCGGCGTCGCTCCCCGGCGCATCGCACGGCGGAACAACTCGACGGAAGCTGCCGTCGACCCCAAGATTGCCACCATTGTCGACCAGATCAGCCAATTGACGCTCCTCGAGACGGCCAGCCTGGTGTCGAGCTTAAAGGTGGGAGAGTTTTGGCGGAGGACGAGGGTTATACATACTGCCGGACGACTCCGTACTAATTGAACTGTTAGACCCGGCTGAACATCCCCGACCTGCCGATTGGTGGCTTCGCGGCGGGCCCCGCAGCACCTGCAGCGGCCGCCGAGGCCGCAGAGGAGGACGAGGCACCGGCAGCGGCCGAGAAGTCGCTGTTCACGCTGAAGCTGGAGAGCTTTGATGCGGGCTCGAAGCCCAAGGTCATCAAGGAGATCAAGAGCCTGCTGGGCCTGAGTCTGGTGGACTCCAAGAAGTTCGTGGAGAGCGCGCCCAAGATGATGAAGGAGTCGGTGCCGAAGGAGGAGGCCGAGAAGATCATTGCGACGCTCAAGGAGCTGGGCGCCGTGGTAACCATGGACTAAGGGAGGGACAGCAGTGGCGACTGACTCCTTGGCGATGATGAGGATGGGGACGGAAACGGGAGCGGCACAAAGGGCCGCATAAACGCATTGTATACCAGAAACAGCATATATGACGCGGCAAGCCATGTAACATTAAGCAACTGTACTCCAAATTGGAATACCATCTTCTATCTATCACGGGGCCTTGTGACAGTGACATCCACCTACGACGAGAACAGAGGAGCTCCAAAAACAGTTTGGTATCGAGGACAACTAACAAATACGCAAACAATGACCAGCACGAGAGCCGTGTCGCGCAACGAACGGCTCAGAAAAGAAGCAGGCGAATCTCAAAACACGTTTCCAAGCCCAGGTGTATCCCGCAGACCATGCACCGACCCAAACCAAGCCAACAAAGAGCACCAGAACGCCGTCATAAGAAAGACAGTGCAAACAGACAAGCAATCACATCACCCAGCCCGACTATGCAGCCTTCCCGTTTGCGGCGGACGGTGCGGCCTCGGCACGATGCAGGCAGCTCGCCTGCACCGCCCGCTCGCGCTCGGCCTCCTCCTCCTCGCCCATCAGGTGGTCATCCTCGCCCAGGTCGCTCGTCTCCTCCCACAGCCGCCACATTTCCGCATCCTGGCCTTTGGGGACGGCCCAGATGCTTTCGCGCAGGCGCTTATGCCGCTCGCGGTCCTCTTCGATGCGCTCCTCAATCTGCCGCTTGTCGAGCCGGCGCGGGGGCTCGACGGCCGATTCACCGCCCCCCGCACCGCTCCCGTCGCCGCCACCGCCGTGGTCCGTGCCGCCGCTGCCGCCGCCACGTCCGTTGTGTCGCCGCGAGGGGACCGTCTGTGACGGCGGTTGGCCGTCGACGTCCATGACATCGCCGCTGCCCCGTTCGCCGCTTGGTGCGCCCGACGCGCCGCGGGCCTCGCCGTTCGCCAGTCCGCCTGCACCTTCCGTCCCCGCATGGACGGGCGACAGCAGGTCGGTCTCGCGCTCTTTGAGGACCTCCTCGATCTCGGTCACGGCCTGGGCTTCGAGAAAGCCCTTTTGCTGCAGGCCTTGCAGCACGCGGCGCACGACCTTGACGTTGGCGGCGCCCTGGCCGCTCTCCGGGGCCACGGCATCGACGACGCGGATAATGTCGCGCTGGATCATGCCGACGTAGTCATTGTGGCCCTCGCGCTGGGCGAGCTCGAGAAAGTGCTGAATAAAGTACATAATGTTGGCGCGTTTGTTAAGGGCCGTTTGGGGCTGCAGACACAGGTCAGTTAGCCGGTGATCAGGCCGGAGGTCGGACACAGATGGCCTGCACGGTGTCACCCCACCTTCTCGAGCTGCTCGATGATGCATGAGTGCAGGTCCTCGTCCATGTCCTTGTACTTGAGCGCATAGGCCGCGGCCTTTTGGGCGGAGTTGACCGAGGCGTTGAGGTTCTGCAGCTGCGCGCTGAAGCGCACGCGCACCTCGAACGGGTCCGCCATCGTTCGCAGTGGTGAATACTCGTGCGCGAGTGTGTACGGCGTGCGTGCTGACGGTCGTTTTCACGTCGCCGCGAGGTCGTGATGCGATGCGATGTTGGAGCAAGAAGCTGGCAATTATGGTTGGTCGAATATTCTTTTACTGCGTCACTAGCCTAAGATACGCCTGGCCGGCATAGTCGCCCGAAATCTCCACTGAGTCTCCCCACTATACTTGCTCCAGGCGGCTATTAAGCCTAAAATTTGGAGAGTCGTTCCAACTAAACAGCCAGTTGCAGGCTACCTCAGCGGACTCTCAGTTTGCCAACAGCGGGTTTCAGGCACACGCGCTATATGCTTGCAATAGCCAACATCTACGCCCACCCTGATATAAATTACCTCCTACCAATTATCCTCGTTCCATCTTATTATTCCCGTCCTTCGTCACTCATTGGCACCCTTGGCCTTTTCGGCCTTTTCGGCCTTCTCGGCCTTCTCAGCCTTCCCAGAAAGCTCGGCGTCGACCTGCGCCTGGTACCCAACCATGCGCTCGGCAGTCAGACGTGCCACTGTGCGCAGATCATCGTCGAGGCCCAGCCGTGTGCCGCTGTTCGGGTCGCTTGCATCGCTGGACCCCAGCGTCTCGAAGCGCTTCTGCCAAAACAGCCAGCGTGGGCCGTGTTTCCCAGTTTCCGTGCCGCCGCTCGTCACGTACAGCTCGTACATGTTCTTACGCATCATTCGGAGGGACATCTCGTCACAGAAGCGAGCCGTTCCGTTGTCCAGGTTGTCGTCAATGTCGCGGATGGTCCAGCGGTAGAGTTTTCCTCCTGTGAGCAGCATCCAGTGGCACGCAACACGCACAGCGCACGCAAAAGCCCGTTGGTGTGTCGCGCCGATGACGTCGTCGGGGCCGTCCGGCTGCGGAGGAGGAGGCTTCTCGACAGCCTGGGCGGTGTCTATGAAGCCATACAACAGCCAGCCGAAGCCGGCCTCGGGGTCCGTTGCGATCCGGCGCGCCTGGAACGTGGAAAAGCTGATCCATTGCTGCTCATACAATGCAAAGCGCCTTCGTTCGTCGTCGAGCCTGTCCCGATGGCCTTGTTCCATGCAACGCACCACGTCGTGGGCTTTCAAATCTGCGGCTGTGTGAAGTGGTCGCCAGGGACAAAAAAAAGAGGCTTGCGTATCAGTACTCAAAATTGAAGATGAAAAAGGCACAGGTAGTATAGGACGATGTTGCTCACGTATCCATTCTTCCCGCTCCACGGCACCAAGCAGCGGAAAGTCAGTCCAGAGATTGAATTCTTTCTTCATGAAGGGACGACAGGACGATTGTGAGAGTTTCGGGTCAGTTTCTCCTTCTTATTTACGCCTCCCAGCACTGCTTCCATTCAGGTAAGTGAGAAAAGGGAAAAGAAAACTCACCTCCCACACACGCACAGTTCCTCTGGACTTTGAGCCAAGGCTCCTGAGGAAGCCCATGAGCTCGTACTGGAGAGGGTTGTCGTATGGGACTATCTTGACGGCATGCAAGAAGACGGTCCACAGTTCAAACAGATAGAGTTCCATGCCGCCATCGTCCCTGGGGACATTGTCTTCTGTAAGCTCCGTGCCATCCCGGGGAGAAGGGCACTTTTTGTCAATGAGCGCCGCCGCCGCCGCCGCAGCTGGCGAGATGTACACGTCTGGCTGGACCTTCGCAGTGACACTGAGCGTCCGCTGGTCCGCCTGAGGCGCCGCAGCAATGATCATATCGGCAAAGATATGCTTGAACTCCGCTACAATATAGCGGTTGTGGTCGTGGGCATCGGCGATGTATTTGAACACAGTGCCGTCGACTCTGCCAGACGCGAGGAACTTGTCCAGGCCATCCTCGCCGACCAACTTTGTGACGAGCGCCTTGGTGTCGGCGTCCATATGCTGTCTTGCATACTCAACAGATCCGGCCGTGGCAGGCTCGATGGACTTTTCAGAAACAGCGGACATGATGAAGGGAAGAAAAGGAGCAGCAGTTGTAAAAAGGAAGTGTGGGAAAACTATGAAGGGAAGCTCTAGGTGGTGAGAAATGAGTTTGATGGTGGGGTTGGAGGGATTTGGCAAAAAACTTGGCTAAAATGTTGTCAAGGGTTCGGAGTAGATCAGCAGCTCGATGACGGGCATTGTTGGTCATTTACACAGTTGTCAACGTCGATGATATGATGTAGTTGAAAGAGATAAACAGAAGAAGAACAGGGACGGCAGGAAGAAGGAGGGGGAACGAGGATCTACACCTGCCGTATTTGGATTTAAACGCGGAATTTTCATTTAGTATTCGGTAATGCCTGACGTCGTATTTCCTCTGTACTCTTGTTCATTTTGAGCCAGATGCACTACTCTGTTCAGTTGATTCGGCCACGTTTTCGCCATTGAGAGTCGCCGTGTAAGCTGATTGGCTGTACTCTTTTCGCCGCGTCTCATCCACATCCAAACATGTGATAGAACAAAACAGACGAAGAGCGAAACGAGGATGAAATGAGAAATCATATATCAGGGGTTGAAAACGATATGGAAATGCAGCGTGGCCATTTTGTTTCCTTATCCTATCCCATCAATGATGTGCGTATATAAAAAAATTTTATACAAAAATGAAAGAGAAGGCATGCAAAAGACATCGAAAATGATATGACATATCGTGCGCCAGAACTCATGCGGCAATGGTCCCAAATCATGCAAAGTACGACGCACAATGCGCAGGACCAAATGCGCAGGGCCAAACAAGGATGGCTTGTTCGTTTTTCCGTATCTGCTAAGAGTTTGTGATGGCTTGCGCCCTTCGCCTTTCAAAGTCCATCAATCTCATCTCGTTCTATCATATTCCGGGGCTGTAGAAACGCTCCTCACCGCTCTATTTTTGTATCTCACTTGACGCGTTTACTATGTAGGTGCATCACAAAATCGTCCATATAAAACAAAGATTTGGCTGAGTAGAAACATTGTAGAGAATTGACCACCAGGGTGGCGGTGTTTGAGACGAAAGATGAACAAGGCGGACAATGTCATGATACAGATGAAGAACAACACGGAGGCCGGCCAGCAACACTTAAGTGGCGATGCCTCCCAATGAAGTCGTGTTGTTGTCTGTATTTTTCACATCCATTCAACTGAAAGAAACACAATCACAGCACCTACATACAGACATTTCTATTATGTCAAAGAAGTTCGACCAAATCAGCATTGCAATGCCAAAAACATCGCCACATGTCTACGACTACGTTCGTGTCCCCCCCCTCTCATGCTACTTTTTATTAAGAATACACATAACTAACTCTTTCACAGTACTTCGTCTGCAAGAATCTCCCTGCAGACAACGAGAACCGATGCCTACGGTGGCGTGACGTGTATAATCAGTTACAATACGTGAGGAACACCCCATATGCCAGTTCATTTTCCTACCCAAAGACTCACAAAAACAGGGAAGAAAATGCTCTCGAGCTAGAAGGAGCACTCCATGAGTATACTGTCATAAAGGGTGGGCGGCCTTTCATCAGAGGCGCCCCAGGAGCGGTCCGAGCCGTCTACCACTGGAAGAAGGAGGAATGGCAGAAAGTGGACTCGCTTAGGAACAAGGTCCGTGTCGTCTATCATGACCCGACAAGAAAATGGAAATCAAAATAGGGCAACAAACCCAAAAGCCATCCATTTTCCATGGCCGAGCTAATGTATCAAGAAGCAACCGATTTCATGCCCCGCGACAGAAGGACCAGAGTCGACCACAACCAGTCCGTTACCAAAAGGAGCCCATGCCAGGGATGGTAGCAAGTCAGATTTGCCGGTATATGTGCCCCGGAGGAAGCCACTTGTTGTGGCCAGGAATGGGGACTGGATGGTCTCATATGTGTTGTCTTTCTTGAGATTTTGCTTTTCTGACTCGTTTTTGCTTCTCTACGTTTGCGAATTTGCGAACTACTTAAATAGAAAATGCTAGTACAAGATACGACATACTTTGAAGCTACAACATACTTTGGCTTTTCCTAGTGATACTCTGCACCCTGGCTGGATATGGAACGACTTTCGTCGACGTGCATTCTACAACTCCGCACTCTTGTACTAAACCAATTTGAAACGCCCTCCTTCATCAAAGCCAGGAACATTCGCCAGATTATACAGAAAAACGCACATTTCTCCGGTTTCTCCCGCAATTACAGACACTGTATTTCATGACGATCAGAATTCGAGTGTGTGGGAATAGGACGGAAACCACGGTGTCACGGTGTGAAGTCCTTCAAAGTGGCTTTTCAGAGTCTGTGGATTCTGTTTCAATCTGGCACAGCCGTGTGCTGTGAATTACGCCGCAATGCGCCCTCCTTTCCCTCTCCCCAGCACCAATCCGGTCCTTTCCTGCCCAATCCCAACCCTTGTCGCATGGGTGACTGCCTATTTAGGGAGCTCGGTTGTCATCCCACGGCGCGGTCCAGCCGCTGGGCCCACTGTAAAATACCATACGGGTGATTCCACTGGTGATTCCCGGGGTGACAAGACGCAAAAAGCGGGCTACTCGGTGAAACCGACCACACAATATAAGGCCGCATGGGGCGTCGCGTGCGCAGTGTGGCCCAAACAGGCGTGGAAGGCGATGGGAAGAACGAATAGAAAACGAAAAGAAGAAAAAACAGAAGCCATGGAAGAACTGGAAGAATGGACGAAATTAAAAGACTGTGGAATTACGGGAGGGAAGAAAATAAGACGGAACGTCACCGAGACTGGCCTGCTTTTATCTCGCAACGGCCCCTGTTTTGGGCCCCCTTTTCTTTTCTTCATCATCCTTATTCGTTTTTCGCATGTCTTTTATCACTTCGTCTCTCGGCCATAACTGGCCTGTGCTTTTGTCTTGTTTTGGCTTGTTTACCTCCTGTTTTGAGACCACAAGCTTGTCAGCTCGTGCGGCACTTTTCACCTGGTCCTGTGGCCTGTGATAATGCCGTGCTCCGTCGTAGGGTAGCAACTTTCCGTATTGTGATCGTATATAAAGACGAGTACGCAGCTCAGTCCTGATCGCACCTTCCCTTCATTGTCCACTTCTCTTTTACCCTCTTTCCTTATTGTCTCCCCTGTGCTCCTTCCCGGTATCAACAACACAACCATCGTTCATTCCTTCCTCAGATGTCCCACAGCTCTCCACCCAGCCCATCACATCGTCACTTCCTCATGCTCGAACCTCCAGACGACTTATCTCTCCTCTTTTTCTCCTCAAGCGAACCCTTCTCCAACTCATAATGCCCGCCACCACCTTTAACCTGCCCATCGTGGGCGCTTCCAACGCCTCTGCTGCTGTCATGTCGTCGGCAAGCTCCGTCTCGTCGTCGTCGACGCCTGACCACCTCACATTGGCCGTCCTCGGCTGTGGAACCATGGGCATTGCAATTCTCTCGGGCATCCTAACCGAGCTCGCCGACTTGGACGCCCCGCGGCCCCTGCAGGTCGTCACCTCGTCTGCTTCGGTGTCGTCGCTGTCCGCGCTCTACACGGCGTCGCAACCGGCCAACGGTACCTCGTCATCAGCATCCGCCTCAGCTGCTGCTGCGGCCACCGAAGAAATGCCGGAGCGTCTGCCCACGCACTTTTTGGCCTGCGTGCGCCGCCCCGAGGCGGCCAAGCGCCTGCGGGCTGCCCTTTGGGCGCACTCCTCCGTCGTCAAGGTGGTGGTCGACGACAACGTCGCCGCTGTCCAGCAGGCCGGTGTCGTGCTCCTGGCCTGCCAGGCATCCGAGGCGCCTGGCCTGCTCGCTAGCCCGGGCATGGCCCGCGCCCTCCAGGGCAAGCTCCTGATTAGCATCTGCCAGGGCGTGACCGTCGCGCAGATCGAGGATTATCTGTATCTGCATGACGATGCCTCTGAAACTGCGGACGCATCGTCCGCTCTCACGGCCACCTCGCCGAAGGCGGAGGCGCGCTGCTGCATCGTGCGAGCCATGCCCAACGCAGCCAGCCTGATTGGCGAGAGCATGACCGTCGTGGACACGTCGTCGGCCACAGGCCCTCTGCCGGCCGAGACGGCTGCTCTCGTCACGTGGATCTTCCGCCGCATCGGCAGCGTCGTGCACCACCCGTCCCGCCGCGCCGTGGCCGGACCCGGCACCCGTGCCCTGGCGACCGTCGACCGTGTGGCTGCATCGTCGGCTGCGGCATGCACCGCCCTCGGCACTGCTGGTCCCGCGTTCTTTGCTCTCGTGCTCGAGGCCGCCATTGACGGCGCCGTCGCCATGGGTCTGCCGCGCGCGGAGGCGCAGCTGCTGGCGGCGCAGTCGATGCGTGGCGCGGCCGGCCTGGTGTTGCAAAATGGCGAGCACCCGGCACTGCTGCGGGACCGTGTCAGCACGCCCGGCGGTTGCGCGATCCAGGGTCTCTTGACGCTGGAAGAGGGTGGCGTGCGTAGCACGATTGCGCGTGCCGTGCGCGAGGCGACGGCCGTGGCCGTCCAGGAGGGCAAGTAGGCAAGTTGTGCCGTGCCCTCTTATTTTTCGCCGTTTCCCTGTATGATACTTGTAACAGTATAATTTTGGAGTCCGCTTTCTTTTGTTCCAAGTTTAGATCCCTATAGACACATTAGATTTTTGAATATCAATACAACAGATTGACGTACTTCCTCTATGCGCATGCATGTTGAGATGGTTTGTATGGTTTGGTATTGTTTCTGCAGATGCTAAGGATAAAATCAAATGCGAAAGCAGATATGAAAGTGGCACGGCCAGACCTAATCCCCACCAATGGAGCAAAACAGAACAAAAAAATGAGCATGCATATCAAAATCATAACGCCAGCCAAACGAATCCCCCCATTTTCCCTTTTGTCAAGCTCGCCGTCGTCCTTCACCACACTTCGCTCTCCTTTCATGCATCTTCCACGCGCGCCCGCTTGCTGCCGTTTTGCACCGCAGCCGCCTCCTTCTCGTCCTCTGCCGACAGCTTCCGCTTGACGGACACCTGCTGATCGGCTGCCAACTTGGACCGGCTTTCAAACATGCTGAGAATGCGCGCGTACTCCAGTTCGACGCTGACCAGCGTCTCCTCCAGCTTGTCGATGCGCTGCGACCGCTCCAGCTGGCCCAAGATCTCCTTGTTGTGCCGGTACAGCCGCTGCTTCACAAACAGGCGCCACAGCTTGTACTCGTGCTCCTGTTCTGCGGTGGCGGGCGGCAGAGCGGCCGCGGCACTCTTGCCCTTGCTGCTGGCCACAGCCACAGCCGCCGCGATCGACTTGCCCTTGCCACCAGCGTCCTCGTCGCCGCCGTCGTCTTCCTCGTTCTCTTCATCTTCTTCTTCCAGGGTCGGCCGCACTGCCGGCGCCAGCTTCTGCATCAAGTACATCTCCACCACGCGGTTGAACTGCCGTGGTGCAATCTTTGTCGTGTGCCGCAGCGTCTCGAGCGCTGCGGTGTCGACAATGTTGCGTGGCGAGGGCCCTGTCCGCGGGATCTTGACTGCCTTGTTGACATGCACAGCGTCGGTAAAAGCCGGCAGCTTGGACACGTACGCCAGGTCGGCAATGTCGCGCAGATCGTCAAACGCCTCGTTGGGGTCCTCGACTGTGATCTCGGTCGTCTGTGGCTCGTTGAGGTACTCGTCAAAGATGGCGCTGTACAGCCGGCCGGCGTTGCCCTTGCCCTGGAAGGGCGGCAAAATAATAAACTGCGAGATGCGCGAGCGGCACGGCAGCTTGGCGAGGGCAAACGAAGTCGTCTGGTGGCCCTCGTCGTCGCTGGGGGGCAGAGCAAATGCATCTGTGTCGCCTGTGGTGGCTGCTGCCTTTTTCCGTGGCGGCGTGGCCGGCCCAACGGGCAGCAGGAAGCGGTACACAGTCGAGTAGCCGGCAAACTCGTGCTCATACAAGTCAGCTGAGCCGGGCAGCTGGCGTGTGCGGTACAGGAAGAAAATGGACCAGCGATCAGCCGAGTCGACCGTATGGGACGTGGCGTCTTCCTTGGCAATAAAAGTGCCGCCCTCGATGAAAAATGGCACAAAGATCTCGACGCGCTTGACAAGCTGCAGTACAGCGGGGTCTGACAGCGTGCCCTTCCAGATTTCGTACCGGCCGTCGTTGCCGACAAATGTGCGGATGCGCTCGCCGGGGGGTGTGTAGTTGGCACCCGGTGTCTGCTTGATAGCCTGCTCGAACTCGGAAAGCTTCTGGAAGGCAACTGAGGAGGTCATGCGTCAGCACTGTGTTGCCATGCCGCCATACGCAGTGCACGCGAGGTACTTACCATCGACGAGGTATCCCTTCAGAACGGTCCGGATATCGGTCGGCTCGATCTCGCCCGTCTTGAGTTTCTTCGTCGACGTCACCTGAAGGTTCGGCCGCATGTCGGACGCATTGAAGCGCAGGCTGATCTTGAGGCCCTGGTATCCGATGACGGTCTCCTCGTCGCCAAAGATGGAGTATGTGAACTTGGGGTTGAAGGATGCAATCGAGCGCAGGCCGGTCGGGGCAGGCTGGACAAGGCTGATCTCAAGCGCCTCGTTGGCGTTGGAAACCCCTGCAGGCCAGTGTCAGTGACATGTCATTGTGAACAAAGATCAGTCCGACATTACAATGTCGTCACCTACATTCGTCGTAAGAATGCTCCATATTGGCGATTGGGAGCCCACAGCGAGCCCGCAGTCTGCTTTTCGGTGCGAGGCAGTGTTCGATAACTCCAATTTCGATGTTCCTTTAACCTTGCGCAGGTCGCAAACTCGAAATGTTCCAGATTCCTCAAGTGTGTCGTGAGACGGTCAGGCGTCGATGCAAATCGCAGTCTCTAAAAAATGTCGAAACGCGAGTCGCGATGGACTAGGAAACCGCGTTGAGTGTTAATTGACCAGAAGACACGGAAGGAGCTGATGTTCGGCACTAGTCCCTTTTTGGCTAGCTGCACGGGTGCGCTTTCTGTTTAGACACGGTTTTTATGCCCACATAATCCGAGTTTCCAGGGGCTACGTAGCACTGATACCATATTCGAACCATTTGACTGCCCTCACCTTTCTGCGCATCGTCAACGGAGCCATCGTTCGCACCGCAACCGACACGGCTGACGGCCATTCCATGCTGTCTTTTGTTCATGCGATCGGCAAGCATCGGATACATATATCAGTGCAGATTATCTCCAGCCAGACGCTTCCCTTCCAGCTGCGCTCCACAGTGCTCGAAGGGGTTTGAAGCTTCACGAAGCTCTCGATCCCACCGCCGCGTGCCAAATCTCCTCGCACACGGCTGTGTTTCCGGGCATATATCACGGCCTCGCGCTCTGGCACTAACTAGATTGGCACACGCCTGCTCACACTGTCGTCTGTCCGCCGCCAAGGCGAGCCTGCACCATGGGCGGGCTGTTTCTTCTTCTGGCGCTCTGCGTACGTCGGCCATTTATTCCATCACTCAATGTATCTTGTCCGTCCTGCTGCTAACCAGTCTCTTTCTCCTGCCACAGGCCGTCATGACATTTGCGTATGTCCCTCGAGAAGAAGTGTGGCAGTCGACGTCCTTTGCTACCTCCGGTACTAACCTCATCACACAGATCATTTCTCGCCGGCGCTCTTCCTTTGTCCATGACCCTCTCGCAGTCGCAGCTACGGCTCATATCCAGTATAGGCGTCGGCATTCTCGTCGGCACCTCGCTTATTGTCATCATCCCCGAAGGCGTCGAGGCCATTGCGAACCCGATGCTTAACCCGCCCGGCTCGGTCGCCGCAAGCCCCAAACACAATGCACGACTCATGTCCTTGCTCAGCAGCCGGTCCGTTCCTGAAGCGACAATTGTCGCTGCTCGCTCAGTCAATGGCGACAATGCGCTCGGCGACATCCTCGGTCTCCGCAGTGCCGACAACCGTGCGATCCACGCGGCAGTGGTACGGTCCTCCGCCAAGGCGTCGAGCCGAGACGACGAAGAAATGCCTGGTGGCACGGCACCCGGAACGGGCGGCGGCGACGGCGAGACCTCCACAGATCCGAAAAAGCACCATCAAGGCGTTGGCAAGTCCAAGCAGAAGCAGGAGGGTGCTGCCGCGCCGGCTGCGACGGACGAACCGCGGTCCCTGCCGACGTTTTTTATTGGCTTCGCCCTCGTCACGGGCTTCGTGCTCATGTTCCTCATTGATCGCCTGCCGCGCCACGCTGTCGACAAGCTGCAGTCGGGCCCCGCCACGCGCCACATCAGCCTCGACAACCTGGCCTCGTCAAGCGTGGCTGGCGACAACGACGAGGGCTTCGAGGAGGAAGGGTTCCTGGGATCGCTGACACCGACGCCGCGGCAGTCGCGCGGCCTGGCAACAACAGTCGGTCTCGTGATCCACGCGGCCGCCGACGGCATTGCCATGGGTGCATCGGCGACGACCGAGGACATGAAGCTGGGGCTGGTGATCTTTGTGGCCATCATGGTGCACAAGGCGCCCGCGGCGTTTGGTCTGACGTCGGTGCTGCTGAAGCACGGGCTGTCGAAACGGGCCGCCCGGGGCCACCTCGTGGTGTTCAGTCTGGCGGCGCCGTTTGGTGCGCTGGGGACATACATCCTGATCACGCTGCTGGGCGGCGGCAATATGGAGGGCGAGCGCGGGCAGTGGTGGACGGGCATGCTCCTGCTTTTCTCGGCAGGCACTTTCCTGTGAGTTTGGGTGGCGGTCCTGTGTCCCCCTAGTTGAGTTTTGTACTTGTTCCCCTGTCCGTCATGCTAACAAACCAGATACGTGGCTATGCAGGCAATGCAGGAGGAGACCGGTGCGCACGACCACCACTCGCTCGGCAATGGCTACGCTGACGCCGCGACCCTGGCGGCACAGCGCAAACAGAGCCGGCCGCAGATGCGTGACACGCTGGCTACCATCGCCGGCATGCTGCTGCCGTTGCTGACGCAGTTTGGTCACCACCACTAGGGGTGGGTTTTCTGGCTGATGTTGGCTGTGTACGCTTGTGTCTTTGCAACCCTAATCTACTGCCCGAGCGTGTTGGTCTTTGGCGTGCGGTATGGTCGAAGGCGGTCCGTTGTATAGGATTAGGGCCGTGATCGTGCCGTGATGCCGCTCTCGCCGTTACCGTCGGGCAGCTCCAATAAGGAAACTTGAAAACTGAGTGCGCCGCAGAGTGGCGGCACGATTCACGATACGCCACATTTTTATATTATTTTCACATGGCGTTTCTTTTACTTCCTTCCTCGTCATTGTTCTGCTTTGTCTTGGCACCCCATTTATGGTTGGCTTTGTTATCGGCGCATGGGGTGTTCTGTTCTGTTGATTCCTCTGGTTTCTTCTTTGTTTGCTTTTTTTGCAGTATGTGTATGACAAGTGACGTGTGTCGGTATCGTTTTCATTAGACAAAGTTATACATATTTAACTACCAAGCGAGCTGGTGACAGTTTCGGCTGTGCTACGTTGGGTAGTTGTGTAAATCAAAAGTATTGCTCGTCAAGCTCATGGTTGCATCTTTGTGTGCGCAGTAGGATTTATTGTAGCAGAAGATATCGTCTGGTATTTTCCGTTCCTCATTCACGCCCTGTTTTTATGTTTTAACGAGATTTGATGATTGACTATACACTTGTTTACTATTATTGCTGGGTTTTTTATTTCCTATTTTTTATCCTTTGATTTGTAAATTAAGTATTGCCCATAGAACCAACAATGTCACCCACGTACGGAGTAAATTCATTCACACGAGAAATTTCATACTGATTTTCATCAACACGGACACATGATGCAGCGACAAGAGACATTGGCCAGATGGTTAATTTCATGTAAATAAAACACGGCGACGGAGGCAGGTAAAGAATTTATTTACACACGACTTACGTTGTTTCAACTTGGCCGTGGCAAAACGAGAAAAGAGGCACAGCTACCGCCAAAAAGATACCTGCCTCTATGGAGTAATAATGTGGAAAACGTACACATAAGATACTGTCCTCTTCGAGTCCTTTAGCAGCGACTTGGAGTGTCGCATTCTGCGGCTGCTAATTATACTCCCTCCAGCTCCTCCGTATCCCAGAGCCAGAGCATAGTGCGTTTCAGCCCTCCCCCTTCCCCCCTTCATTCTCCGATTGACGCCCATCGCACCTGCCAGCCCATAGCCTAACAATGTCTCCTGCGAGTTGCTACTTTTGCCCTCTTTCGCTCCTGCTCAGATCTGATCCCTTCTTGCCCTGCCCCTTCCTCATTCGAAACTGGCCAATCCCATCAGACTTCTGATATTTCGTGGCTCCTCCTTCTTGCACCTCCTCATTCAAATGCCCTCGCGGCTCACGCCCTAGCACACCTCAGACTGGGGGCAATACATGTCAATTGCCACCCTGCAGCGAACATGTCTTGCTTCTGCTCCGCGGCCTCCCTCTTTGCGATTCCTAGCCGCCGAGTCGGACAGAGGTGTGGAGCCGCAAGCTGCACGTCTTCTTGGAGGTTCAAGTCTCGGTGCATGGGTGGCCTTCAAGAGGATGTCTCAAGAGGTTTTCTCCATGTACGAATGTATTCTCCCTTCATCGACATGAGAAGGGAGGGTGGAGTCGACAGGGCGAGCTTTAACGAGGCTAGACAAATCTCAGTCTTCCCGGTCACTGCGACGGACACAGACGTCTTCCTACGTGACTTCTTGTCGTCGCTTCTGACATTGCCCTTTCGTGCTTGACGTCGCATAAGTTACGAGCCCAAGCTTTTCGTCTTTATTTTTATCTCTACCTCACCGGCGTCGCTGCTTCCACCTGACCCTTTGGTCGAGGTCTCCTGGTTCCTGATCGACTGCAAATGAGAAAGGGATGCACAGGGGGAGCACATCTCGTCTGTATTTTGCAGGTATGTGTGCGCACATGGAAACACGCCTGGACACATCCGCCAGATGCACGTCGAGCTCGGTCCCTATGCTGGTGATCGCCGTGCCCCAACCTCTGTCCTGGGTTTCTCGTATTACCTTTGTCTCCAAGACAATGCATCCACCTACGGAGGGACAATCTACCTGCGGAAATGTCATGGGAGCTCCCTTCATGCCTAGTACAAGTCCCACGATGTTTTCCCAAGGCGTCCCTTTCTTGCTTCTCTGCCCGTTTGTGCCGTGTCCGTTGGCGCTCCGGCCCTGGCTCAGCCATCCTAGAGCCTGGAGTCATGGACACACTCTGGCCAGGCCCTCTCGTCATGGTCGCCCATGTTGTACACTGTAGCGCAGGACGCCATGAAAACTCATCGCAGCAGACAGGCAAGGGATCGTGGTATTGATTCCCCCGGACGGACGATGCGATCCCGTCTTAGCCGCCCAGACTGTACATGCACCGGAATGCCTTGATATCCACTGTATATCGTAGAGACCCATGTGGTTTATGGGCTGAACGGCCACGCACACCTGCCAGCCGTGTCTCTAGCATAAGTTCTTCGTAAACGCAAACTACGACGTGAGATAAATCAGATCATGAGCGATGGCGTCTTACACTTGCTGCGTATTGCTTCCTTCTGCGGCTTTGCTTCGTGCGTGTCTTGCTTTGCTCTCCTTCCCCCCACAGAGATGTCAGTGGAGTAGCCAACGACGACCCACGCCTGACAATGGGTTATGCACCAGAATGCACCATCCCCCGAGCGTCAGCGGCCAGTCGCACGCCCTGATTCGCTCATGTAGCTGGCTCCACCCAGCCTTTCATCTTTCGTTGCTCTTTGTCCCCTTTCGCCAGGCCGTCCCCCTCTACCGCATGGGCCCCAAATGGCTCCTTCCCCTTAGCCTACCGAAAAAGAGTCGCCATGGAGTTATATGGCTGTCGGTCGAGGCCTGGAAGCAGGTCTTCGCGCCCACTGCTCTGGCCTACCATGCCCGTCCTCTTGCCCTTTCCCACCGACGCTTAGTGCGCGCCCCTTTGTGTCTCCCCTCTCACACTCCACTGCCTCTCATCACTTTGCTTCCTCCCTCGTTTGCTCTACCGCCGCTGCCAATTCGACGTTTTCGACGCTCTGCCGTTCCTTTCTTTTCCCTTGCATCGTCGAATCCCTTTCCCGACGTTTGACACCAGGAGTTATCTTTTTTCCTCTTCCTCTTTCCTCCTTCCTCTTTTCCCCATTTCTCGAGTACTGCACCTCGTTACGTTACCGACAATTCACGTTATTGACGGCACTCACGGGCATCGCCTCTTTTTTGCATTCTGGACCAGACGCGGCCAAAACCGCCATACCGCCTCGATCTCCCCTCTTGTTTCTCCGCGACGACATTCCAAACCAAGAGGCCTCCTTTTTCTGTCTTCCATCTCCGCCATTCCAATGTCTTTCTGAACGTACACCGCCAACGCCTTTGTCTTGCTTCCACGCCAGATACGCCTAGCATTTCGTACGCTTCCAGACCGGACCTTCACTGCACTCGGATGACCACCAATACTCCGTACCCTTTTGCCGAATCGACCACCTGACGATTTCCCCGTTGCTGTTTCGAGCCAGCTCGCCATACGACCCGCGTTCACGGTCCCGCCTGGCTGACGTTTGTCAAGACCGACCGCTTTGTTCCTCGTCGCTCCTGCCCAGCCTAAGACGATTTGTCATATCCGCCGCTGCCCACTCCTGCCCTTTGACGCCCAACAACACTTGACTTTGGGACGCCTTTGCACCTGCCTCACGATCACTGCCATTGTGTTCTTGCCCAACTTTTGGCCTGAAATCGGCCGTTTGTTCCCTGGTTGTCCTTGTTGACATCTCCTGTCGCTACTTCCGTAGCAAGAGTAGGAGCATCCGGGTACGGAGCTCTTGCCTGGGTGACCCAAGGTCTGTATGGCTCCTTTCCTCCAGCGCCGTGCTTTCCTTTTTTGGCCTCATCACTTTGCATGTTTGTTGTGTAGTTTACTTTCTCCGTTCTGCTTTTGTGTAGCCTCCACAGCCTTGAGTCATTCGTATTCAACGTCCTTCACATGCTAACAAGTTTGTGTTTCGTCTCTCACAGCCACGCACGTCTCCTCTTCCCACGCTACGGAGGACTAGAAACACACAATGTCCGGCTACCAGAGACCGCCTAGCTTTTCTGATCGGAGGGGCGGTGCTTTTGCCCGGGACGAGCTGGCTCTCAGCACCTCGGCCAACCCTGTCGTCAAGGCCGCCCAGGTTCGGCCACCACGCGGACCGCCGACCCCAAGCATGACCACCCCTGCCGCCGAGTACGACCAGACCATGACCGGGTCGCCGCCGCCGCCTCCCACGCCGGCTGCCTCGCCGGGTCCGTCCCATGTGCAGCCGGACTGGAGCGACGCCAATGCGGACGAGGATTTCTTCCACTCCAAGATCCGCCAGCACTTTAAGAGCTGCACGGCCTCCCAGAGGACGCGTCTCTTGGCCGATCTGTTGAACCTTTGCACCAGCCAGCAGCTGAGCTTTGTTCATCAGTTTGTCAGCCCGCTCCTGAAGAAGGACCCGTTCACAAGCTTGCCTGACGAGCTCTGCTTACGAGTACGTGTGCCCCCGCCTTCTTTTTGCCCCTTGTCGTGGCCTGTCACACTAACACACATTAGATCCTCTCCTTTATTGATGACCCCAAGGTTTTGGCCCGTGCTTCCCAAGTGTCGCGACGCTGGCGTGATCTGCTCAGCGACGACGTGACGTGGAAGAATCTGTGCGTGAAGCACGACTACGACCGCCGCCTCTCCGAGGTCCAGCCGGCAGCGCCGCCCACCCCCGTCCGGGAAGAGACGCCGACGACCTTCCCTCTCAGTGTTTCCGACAGCGACTTCCCGACGCACAACCTGCCGTCCCTGGCCCCGCCCGAGAATGACGTGCCCATGGCCACCTCGCGCAGCCTGGATGGTGCGACACATGGCGGCACATCCAGCAGCAGCAAGAACCGCCCGCGGCTGCGGTCGTACAAGTCCCATTTCAAGCAACGATACCTGGTTGATGCTGCGTGGCGCACCGGGGGCCAGACCATCACCAAGAATATCACTCAGGATGGTGGTCTGGTGACCAGTCTGCATCTCACTCCCAAGTACATTATTGTGGCCCTGGACAATGCGCGCATCCATGTGTTCAACACCGAGGGCGAGGACCAGAAGACGCTGCAGGGCCATGTCATGGGCGTCTGGGCCATGGTGCCTTGGGAGGACACCCTCGTCAGTGGTGGCTGCGACCGCGATGTCCGTGTCTGGAATCTTCTCACAGGGTAAGCCCAGCCACCGTTCTCTCGTCAGACCTGACGCGTGTTCTTTCACTCCCCCTCCCAACTGTTTCTCTGGCTAACACGACTAGACAATGTGTGCACACGCTCCGCGGCCACACCTCGACGGTTCGCTGCCTGAAGATGTCTGACGAAAACACGGCCATCTCGGGCTCCCGTGACACCATGCTACGCGTATGGGACATCCGCACTGGCCTCTGCAAGAACGTCCTCGTTGGCCACCAAGCTAGCGTGCGCTGCCTCGAAGTAAAGGGGGACATTGTTGTCTCCGGCAGCTACGACACCACTGCCAAGATTTGGAGCATCTCTGAGGGCCGGTGTCTCCACACACTGCAGGGTCACTATAGTCAAATCTACGCCATCGCTTTTGACGGTGTCAAGGTTGCCACGGGCAGCCTGGACACCAGCGTGCGCATCTGGAATGCAGCCACGGGCGAGTGCCAGGCGGTGCTCCAAGGCCACACGTCTCTGGTTGGCCAGCTGCAGATGCGTGGTGACACGCTTGTGACTGGTGGTTCTGACGGCTCCGTCCGTGTTTGGTCGCTGTCTCGCTTCTGCCCCATCCATCGCCTGGCCGCACACGATAACAGCGTCACCAGTTTGCAGTTTGACGACACACGCGTTGTGAGCGGCGGCAGCGATGGCCGCGTCAAGGTGTGGGATCTGAAGACTGGCCAAATGGTCCGCGAGCTGATTTCCTATGGTGATGCAGTCTGGCGTGTTGCATTTGAAGACGAGAAGTGTGTGGCTATGGCCCTTCGTGGCGGCCGCACTGTCATGGAGGTCTGGTCGTTCTCTCCACCTGACGACGTCCTCAGCGATCGACCACTCTCCCTGCCGCAGCGGTCCTTGGACCCACCGTCGGACGCTTCGCCGCCGCGGCCTATGAGCGCCTTGGCGATCGACTTCCGGCGGCCCCAGGCGCTGTCGGGCCTCCCGCGGCGAGATCCTGCTGGCGACGACGTTGATATGCGAGACGCCGGACCGGCGACAGCGCCGTTACAGCAGGGCAACTCGACGTTCTTCCACGATGCCTAGCGGAGCGATTTTAGGCTGCATCGGGTCCCGTTCTATTGCTGGCATTTGCCATATTCTCCTCGTCCCATTCGAGGACAATGGCTCTATCCTAGGCCGAGGCCGGCCTTTTGACCTTTTTGCTATTATTGCACCATTGCAGCAGCACGATGTCATTTTACGGTGTTTAGCACAGCGCTGGTATGTCGTACCGTGACAACACGGAACTTTGCACTCAACGTGTGATACGCGCTGCGCGTCCCGTATACTTCTTGTTTTCCTGGGTGGCCTACGGACTGCGTCTATTACCCAACTTATATCCCCTCTTCATTTTCATCTTTTACACAGCAAACCATGGATCTGGGCGTTTTTGGGGTGGAGCATTGTTGTCTATCTTATTTTTTGAAATTTTTTTTTTAACTATTCGAGGAACGGTGTGTGTCGGAGGCTGCGACGAATGTATTGCCCCCGAGAAGTCATCCACCTATGGAGGAAGAGGGAGTCTCCATTCTAGGGGCTCTTGTGCATCGTACCCTCTGATCGTCTTCCATAGCCGAGATCCGAAACTCTCTGCTTGCTGCTTTCCACATGACTATTTGCTTGCTCTCTGATTTTGCTTCTTTTTACTATCGTTACTTTTGGGAGCTGGAAGGGACACAATAAGGGCTTACGATGGGCATAGGGAAATGATTTTAAGAGAAGGATTAGAAATTAGGAACGGACAACCATTCTGACATCAATAAATCAAGGCAAGCTTTTACACGTCCAGCGGAATAGTTTGGCGAGGATGTGGTCCCTGTTGGCTAGCATGTGTCTTGTGCATGTTAAACCGCGCTGTTTTTATGTGTCTCTGCTGTCCAGCGGGATGATGGGCAAGTTTATTTGTCGTCCGCCTGCGGTTCTTTCCCTTGTCATTTGCGCTCCTGTTTTTCACGATGTGGAAAGCTAAGGCGAAAACCGGGTCGCGCTTGCCGTCGGAGTGATATTGTAGCGAGCAAAGACAGCGAGAGGTGGCTGCGAGATCGCTGCTGCACAATGGGCTTTTGCAGGGCCGTCGCGGCTTCCCTGCGCTGTTAAACCGTTGGGGTTGGCAGTTGCTTCCAGGAGGCCTTTCCTAAAGAGGCTAGTACCTCAACTCCTGACTACAGCCAGGGCGACAGTTCAGGTCCACCCGCGCGCCGCTGATTGGCCTCCGACAGCTGTTTCTGGGCCTTGTATTGTTGCAATTATTTTTGGTTTAAATTTTATTGCTCGCTTTTCTTCGGACGTGTCCTAGTGGGAAGTCCGGTGTAATCTGACCCAGCAAAGCTGTCCTACTCCATACGTTTTTTTTGATTATTTTTTTTTTGCTCTGTCCGGATCGTTCCTGCCCCCTTCCTGCGTGTTTTATCTCGCTCACACTTTCCTTCTCACCATATCCCGTCCGCCTAGCGCTTGTTTTCTTCTTCCTCCTATCATCAGCCACTCCGAATTGTTTTGTATATCGACAATCTCCTTCGATTCCTCTCGATTGTCTGCGTTTTTGGCAATTGAGCAGCCGTCCCAATTGATTTGTCGAACCCTCCAACTTCTTCTCCGCCCTCTCCCCCACACCCCTTTTTCACGCCATGTTCTCGCGTGCGGCGTTCCGCGCTGGCCGGGTGGCTGCAGCCAGCGGCGGCCTGCGGACGGCTGCCACGGCGTCGGCGATGCCCCTGCGTGCTGCTTCGGCGATGCCCTCTGCTTTCGCCAAGACGACGTCTGTTGCCGCCCGGAGGACAGTCACGACCGATGCGGCGTCTGCTCACGTCGACAAGAGCGCCGTCCCCCAGTCCGACGACGAGGTGTTTTCCGTCAACCTGAGCGACGAGAGCTTCGAGACCTACGAGCTCGACCCCCCGCCGTACACGCTGGACGTCACGAAGAAGGAGCTGAAGAAGATGTACTACGACATGGTTGTCATCCGCCAGATGGAGATGGCCGCCGACCGCCTGTACAAGGAGAAGAAGATTCGCGGTTTCTGCCATCTGTCCACGGGCCAGGAGGCGGTCGCTGTCGGTATTGAGAACGCCATTACCCGCGAGGACGATGTCATCACGTCGTACCGCTGCCACGGCTTTGCGTACATGCGCGGCAGCAAGGTTCGCCAGGTGATTGGCGAGCTGCTGGGCCGCCAGGGCGGCATCTCGTACGGCCGCGGCGGTTCGATGCACATGTTCGAGAAGGGCTTCTACGGTGGCAACGGTATCGTCGGCGCGCAGGTGCCTGTCGGTGCCGGCCTGGCGTTTGCGCACAAGTACCAGGACAAGAAGAATGTCTCCGTGGTCCTGTACGGTGACGGTGCCAGCAACCAGGGCCAGGTCTTTGAGGCGTTCAACATGGCCAAGCTGTGGAAGCTGCCTGCCCTGTTCGGCTGCGAGAGTGCGTCTCCCCCCCCCCTTTCCCCAGTATGATGATGGTGGCCGTTAGAGTCGTTCGTTGCTAACAAACGTTGCAGACAACAAGTACGGCATGGGTACCTCCGCCTCGCGCTCGTCGGCGCTGACCGACTACTACAAGCGTGGCCAGTACATCCCTGGCCTCAAGGTCAACGGCATGGACATCCTCGCCGTCAAGGCCGCCGTCCAGTACGGCAAGGAGTGGGCCCAGAACGACAACGGCCCGCTGGTCCTGGAGTACGTCACCTACCGCTACGGTGGTCACTCCATGTCGGACCCCGGTACCACCTACCGCACGCGCGAGGAGATTCAGCGCATGCGCTCGACCAACGACCCCATTGCCGGCCTGAAGCAGAAGATTCTCGACTGGGGCGTCGTCAACGAGGAGGAGCTCAAGGCCATTGACAAGGAGGCCCGTGGCTACGTTAACGAGGAGGTCGCCGCCGCCGAGCAGATGGAGCTGCCCGTTGCCAACCTCGACGTGCTGTTCAACGACATCTATGTCAAGGGCAGCGAGCCCAGCTTCATCCGTGGCCGCACCGCCGACGAGATCCGCTACTTTGATTAAGCCGCCCCAGGGGACGAGGGAATAGACGGGGGACGGTTTTTGGGTCTGTAGTTAATATGAAGGAGCGAGGGACGGGACCTGGGCCAGATATATAATCCTGTACACAAGCCACTTGTGCTATTTTCTTGTCACCTCTCCTTGTGGATGTTCTTGTTTTCCTTTTTTAACCACCATCTTTGTTACTGATTTAGTTGCGCCTGTTGTTCCGATTCATGTAAGATTAAACCGCAAAGTCACGCATACATGGGCTGTCTTTCGAAAACAATCCAGGAGGCGATTCCAACCAGGTCATAAAGTGTCGCGACTATCGATATTTCCTCGCCGGAACACATTGTGTTTTTATCGTTGTTGGGTGCTCGTAGGTTAGTCGTATGTCGTGTTCGGGGCGATAGGCACCGAGACGACGGTTTAGACGCAAAGGAGCCCTGAAGAGAGCTACGACTTCGCTGGGCTGTCACGTGGTGTCGCTCAGCCTAGGCGCTGGAGCCTAGCGGGTTTGGCAGGGCAGATTGGCGGATTGGCGTCGTCTGAGCCTATTAAACTAGCAAGACGCGATATGGGGAAGTGACGACCCGCGTTTTCCCACAAAACGCGCGTGGCACTCTATTTTCTGTGCCTCATCTGCCGCACTGCCTCTTGCCCTCTGGTCCCCAAGCTAGTCCAACTCGCATGTCTGCCTGGAATTGATCCAAAACACGACGACGAGTTTCAACCGACGACCCTGTGTATTTAAGAGCCCCTCAGTTCGTCTTCCGTCGTCATTCTGTTGCACGGCCCAAGAGCCTGCACCCTCGCTTCCAGAGCAATCGTGGCTTCGCGACATTTGGTGCAGCTCGCGCCCGGTGCAATTTCCTCGACTTTCATAAAACCAACGACAACAACGAGAACAACAACAGCAACGACAACATTGACGGTGACGCTCAGACATAGTAGCAGTATTTGCAGCAGGCGGACACGCTTTACGGCCTTGACCTCGGCCGTACCCAGGACTTCCTTCTGGCCCATTGCTGCTGCTGCCCCGCTACTGCGAGCCCGAACATCTCCCCTCTCCCTCCCTTATTCGCTGCCTCGTACCATGGCTCCCAACAAGCAGGCCACTCTCGGGTATGTCAAGCCGACGCAGACTACGCTGGGGCACGTCCTTTTCCTTCTCTCAACGGTGCCTGACGGCATATTTGACAAGATTGTTCCAGGCTAACCATACGATATAGCAAGTTCTTTGGAGCGCCGGGCAACGCACCGCAACAGCAGACCAAGCTGTCTTTTGCGACGAAGGCGACGACGACCAGCAATGGCGACGGAAGCAGCTCGTCAAAGGAGAACGTGACGCCTGAGAAGGGTGCGTATATATGTGTCTATTTGGATGTGGAGGGTGGAGACAAGTCTTGACGTATGCGCTGACTGTTTCAGACAAGAAGAAGCGCCTGTCAGACGACGAAGCTGGGCCCAAGGACGAGTCAGACGCCGAAAGCATCGGACAGCCGGCCGCCAAGCGGGCGCGTAAGAACCGCCGCGTCGTGGAAGAAGACGAAGACGACGAAGAGGACGACGTCGCGCCGATAATTAAAAAGGAAAAGGTTGTGACACCGAACAAGGTCAAGGATGTCGCCATGGACGATGTCGCTCCGAACGCTGCAAAGTCAAAATCACCACCACCGGCTGCCAAGCTCAACGTTACGGCCGCTGCAGTCAAGAAGGAGGCCATGGACGACGATGACGAAGAGAAGGCAGCATCTTCGGTGTCTGACGAGTCCAGCTCCGATGTTGACGAGGAGGACGAGGAGGACGTAAAACCCGAGGTCGCCGCCAAGGTGCGCAAGACGATCCAGACTGTGCTGTCTACACCCAAAACAGATGCTTTTCCCGACTGGAAGGCCGGCGAGCCCGTGCCCTACGAGGCGCTGTGTCGCACCTTTTCGCTCATTGAGCTCACGACCAAGCGCCTCATCATCATGGAGTACTGCTCGCTGTTCTTGCGCCAGGTGCTGCGCCTCACGCCCGGTGACATGCTGCCCACTGTGCTGCTCATGATCAACAAGCTGGCGCCCGACTACTCGGGCATCGAGCTCGGCATCGGCGAGTCGCTCATTATGAAGGCCATTGGCGAGTCCACCGGTCGTAGCTTGGCCGTCATCAAGCAGGACCAAAAGGAGATTGGCGACCTGGGCCTGGTCGCGGTCAAGTCGCGGTCGACGCAGCCGACCATGTTCAAGCCCAAACCGCTGACCATCCAGGGCGTGCACAAGGGCCTGATGGGCATTGCCACGGTTTCCGGCAACGGTGCCCAGCAGCGCAAGGTGGACGGCATCAAGAAGCTGCTCTCGGCCGCCGACGCACGGAGCCAGGGCCGCGTCGACATCACCAAGGACAAGGGCGGGCCGAGCGAGGCCAAGTACCTGGTGCGCTTCCTCGAGGGCAAGCTGCGCCTGGGCCTGGCGGAGCGCACGGTGCTGGTGTCCCTAGCCCAGGCCGTCATCCACCACGAGGCGCAGGTCGCGGGCAAGACGGCGTCGCCGTCGGACGTCGAAAAGGCGGAGGCCATGCTGAAGTCGGTGTACAGCGAGCTGCCGAGCTACGACATTATTGTGCCGGCGATGCTGGAGCACGGAATCATGCACCTCAAGGAGAACTGCAAGCTGCGGCCCGGCATCCCGCTCAAGCCCATGCTGGCAAAGCCGACCAAGGCCATTACGGAGGTGCTCGACCGCTTCGAGGACCAGACATTTACGTGCGAGTACAAGTACGACGGCGAGCGCGCGCAGATCCACTACGTGGCCAAGGAGGGCTCTTCGTCGTCCGTGGCGGCGTTGCCCACGACGGCCACGACGACGGCCAACGCGGCGCAAGGCCTGACGGCCATCTTCTCGCGCAATTCGGAGGACCTGTCGAAAAAGTACCCGGACATTCTGGCCAAGCTGCACACGTGGGTCAAGCCCGAGACCAAGAGCTTTGTGCTGGACTGCGAGACGGTCGCGTGGGACGTGGAGGAGCGCAAGGTGCTGCCGTTCCAGCAGCTGATGACGCGCAAGCGCAAGGACGTCAAGATCGAGGACGTCAAGGTCAAGGTGTGCGTGTTTGCGTTTGACCTGCTGTACCTCAACGGGGCCGCCATTGTGGAGCAGCCGCTGCGGGCGCGCCGGGCGCAGCTGGTGGAGGCGTTTTTCCCCGTCGAGGGCGAATTTGCGTTTGCGACGCACATGGACGGCCAGGAGCTGGATGCGATCCAGACGTTCCTGGACGAGAGCATGAAGGCGTCGTGCGAGGGCCTGATGGTCAAGATGCTGGACGGCGCCGAGAGCGGGTACGAGCCCAGCAAGCGGTCGCGCAACTGGCTCAAGATCAAAAAGGACTACCTGTCGGGCGTCGGCGATTCCCTGGACCTCGTGGTGCTGGGCGCGTACTACGGCAAAGGCAAGCGCACGTCGGTGTACGGCGCCTTTTTGCTGGCATGCCACAACCCCAACAATGACACGTACGAGACGGTGTGCAACATTGGCACGGGCTTCAGCGAGGCGGTGCTCGAGGAGCTGCACACGCAGCTGAGCGCGATTGTGATTGACCGGCCGAAGCCGTTCTACGCGCACAGCACGGGCGGGCAGCACCAGCCGGACGTGTGGTTCGAGCCGCGGTACGTGTGGGAGGTGAAGACGGCGGACCTGACGCTGAGCCCGCGGTACAAGGCGGGCAGCCACGAGGGCGTGGACAGCTCGGGCGAGCGGCGCGGCATCAGCTTGCGGTTCCCACGCTTCATCCGGATCCGCGACGACAAGAAGCCGTCGGAGGCGACGTCGTCGCGGCAAGTCGCGGAAATGTACCGCAAGCAAGAGAGCGTGGCCAAGAGCAAGGGCCCGGCCGTCGACGACGACTTTGAATACTAGGGACGGTGTGTACAACTATTGGGATTTGTTTGCGGGTTGTATGCGCTTTTGGTCTGTTGTCTGATGTATTTGGCATTGTGCCCCTTTACGTACGTTTTATGCATGGCGCCTTGTTTGGCTGTTTTCACGCATTGTGTGTTTTTGTATTTATTCTACTGTGTACGACAGACGGCTGTTTTCTATCCAATCGAGGCCAACCTCTCCGCTGCTCTATAAGATCGACTCTTGTTCCGGTCCAGGACTCAGCGGGTCGTCGAGCATATCACCATCCTCGCGCAGGTGGCCCGACCCGCCAGCGACAGCACCAGCGTTTGCCATGCCGCCCGCTCCAGCGCCGGCGCCACCACCACCAGCGCCGCTGTTCCCTCTACTCTCCCGGCCATTCCGCCCCAGCGATGCACTCCCGCGCAGGTCGTCGTCTTCGCCGCTCCGGCGCGACTCCTCGGCGCCGTTGAGCACATACCACACGTCCTTCTTGGTCAGCAGCCCCTGGAGGACGCCGCGGTCGCTGAACAGCACGTAGCGCAGACCCAGTTTCTGGAAATAGTTGACCACCAAATGCAAGCGCGAGCGCGAGGGCAGTGTCAGGGGCGTCTGGTCCATCCAGGGCCGCAGGTCGAGCGTGGTGCGCGGGTCGGCGAGCGGCTGGTGGGCGAAAAAGGCCTCGGTCTCGTCGGGCGGGAGAGAGCGCGGCGGCTGGACGGCGGCTTGCAGGGTGTAGTCGAGCTCGGCGCGCGAGATGTAGCCCAGCAAGATGGCGTCGCGCGGGTCGGAGACGATGGGGAAGCCGCGGTACGGATGGGTGTCGAGGATGCGGCGCAGACTGGCGACGGTGTGGCCGGTGGCGGTGAGCACGACCAGATCCTCGATGCGGGTCATGACCTGCGCAGCGGGCACGTCGGGGAGCTGGAACTGCATGTCCTCGCTGTTGTCGAGGAACGGGTACTCGTTGAAATGGATCCAGGCCTCGTAGATGCCGCGGCGCGAAAAGGCGTCGCCAACCCACTTGGAGAGCATGACGGCGACCATGATGGGCAGCACATAGCTGAGCGCGCCCGTCAGCTCAAAGACGATGACGACAATGGACACGGTGACACGCGTGACGCCCGTCAGCGCAGCGGCCGCGCCGACAATGGCGTAGGTGCCCGGCGTGACGCACGACAGGTCCTGCTCGCACGACTGGAAGATGAACAGGTCGGGGTGGCTCGTCTGCCAGATCTCCATGACGATGCCGACAGCACGGCCCGTGAGGGCGCCAATAGCCATAGAGGGCAGGATGATGCCGGCCGGCAGCTGCAGGCCGAACGTAATGGCGGCCAGAAAGAAGCCGAGCACGGCGGCAAAGAGCAGCAGCACAATGGTGGCGGCGGTGGCGGCGCCGGTCTTGCAGAGGCCGAAGACGTCGTCGAGCTGCGGCGAGCACTCGGCAAAGATGTTGGACACGAGCTCGGACAGCTGGGCGCGCATATAGAGGTTGGGATAGTTGACCACGGCGGTCAGCAGGGCGACAAGGGCCACCTGGACGACAGGGCCGGGCAGCCAGCCGGCGTGGGCCTTTTTCCAGCGGGCAATCCACATGTTGGCCTTGATGAAGAGGCCGCCGTAGACGCCGCCGAGGATGCCGAGCAAGGCAAAGGGCACGATTTCAAAGGCATGCCAGCCGGTGGAGTACTTGACCTGGTACAGCACGAGCTTTCCCGACCGGAAGGGGTCGAGGGCCTGCAGCACAAAGGCGGCCGTCATGGCACACACGAAGCTCTGCCACATGGTCTTGTCGGGGAAGTAATAGGAGAGGGTCTCGAGGCTGAAGAGCACGCCGCCAATGGGGGAGCCAAAGGCGACGGAGATGCCCGAGGCCGAGGCGGCCGAGAGGACTTCTCTACGGCGGGCTAAACGAGTTAGTAAACGACACAGCAAGACAGTCAAATAAAGCAACGGCAAGACGACAAGACGGCATGACGGGTTACCCACCCTCGTTGTTGTTGATGCTGGGAAACAGCTTGATAAAGAGATTGGCGCAGCAACAGGCGACATGCACGAGCGGACCCTCCTTGCCGAGCCACATGCCGGACGCCACGGCGAGACACAGGCCCAGCGACTTGGTCACAAGCGTCCAGCCGCCGAGAAAGCGGCGGATGACAAAGCCACCCAGCATCGTCTTGATTTCGGGGATGCCACTGTGCTTGGCATAGATGGCGTACTCTTTGACGAGAAACGCGGCGCAGACGGCGCAGGTCACCGACAGCACGACAAAGAACAGGTACTCGAGGAACCACTTGCCGACGGCCGACGACGCCGACAGACCCACGGCGGCCGCCCAGGGCCGCCAGCCGTCGCACTTGGCGCCCTCATCGTAGCCCATGCAGCAGAAGCCGTGGTTCAGGTAGAAGGCGCCGCCGTCGGTGCCGCCCGACGCGCAGTAGCCCGTCTTGATGTCGCCCAGCCAGTCGGACGCCACGTCGATGCCGGCCGCCAGCGTGCCGGCCGCCAGGCCCGTCAGCACGAGCACGACCCAGATCTGGCCGTCGTCCAGCAGACGGCGCACGAGGCCCAACAGACCGCTCGTGCCCGAGACCATCGCCCGCTGGCGCTGGCGTTCCTTGTTGTGCTCAAAGATCCAGTCAATGGCCGTCAGGTCTTCGTAGCCGACGCGGCGGCCGAGCCCCTCCGAGTACCAGTCGACGACGTGCGGCAGGCCGGCGCTGTTCTTGCCGTTGCTGTTGCTGTCATAATTGATGTTGACATTGCTGGGCCCGCCGTCGGCACCGCCGAACGTGCCCTGTGTCTCAAACGCCTCGTCGTTGCCCGCGCTGCCGAGGCCAATGGGCCCGTCTCGTTGGTGTACATAGAGCGAGTGGGCCGCATGTGTGTGTGGCGAGGAGGCCGTGCCCATGCCGAACGTCGAGAGAAGCGACCGCGCCGACTGGGGCAGAAAGTTTGTCTGCTTCTGCCGCCGCTTGAACGACACGGGCCCGCCGAGCTCGGCCGCAGAAATTGTGTGCTCGTCGATCCCGTCGACGCTGTAGTCGTCATCGTTGCCAACGTCGTTGTGGGCGTTGTGGGCGTTGCCATGGGAGTCGTCGTCGTCACCGCCGCTGTACGGCCCGCTGGGCTGGCTGATGCTGTCACCGCCGAGCAGGTCGACGCCGCCGCCGTTTTGGCGTGGCGCGGCTCGCGCGTGTGAATCACTGTCCGCACTGCCACCGCCGCTGCCACTCCTCCCTGCTGCTGGTATTAATGGGTCCATGGCGAGCAGCAGGAAGCGCCGTCATCGCACAGCTCCAACGGCTGTGCGAGAGGCCGAGACGCGAGAAAAGGCACAGAAATGAGCGGGTACAACGACGTTGACGTATCGAGATGGTAGACGGTCGGCTGGAAACAAGTGCGGTCGCAAAATAAGTCGCCAAGAGGCCGTGTCGTGGTGCTGTGGACTGTGTCGCGAACGAGTGTCGTCGCAAGCTTCAAGCTGAGCTGTATGGAGGCTACGGTCAGGAGGCTGTGGCCTTGCCCATATTACGTCGCAGGTGTTAAAGTGGGTCCAAACGTGCCCACCCCGATTTGGACACGTATTAGTCAGCCTACGTGTTATGCAAATAGGCACACATCAACGACGGACTAACAGCCTTGCATCATGGCACAAAAAAACGCTTGACTTTGTCTCGAATCCAACAGCAAGGACGTATCTCAAGCAGTTTCATTTCAGCGTCGCCGTAGAAAGAGCGGCGCCATGGCCGTTGCTGCACCCAACGCGACCCCATTGACGTGACAGACGATGGCTTCTTCCCGCGACGACGCTGCTGCATCCGATGCGGCGATGCCACTTGTTGAGCCTCAAGACAGCGCTCAGCAGACAGGCCAGGCCGACCAGGCAGGACAAGCCCAGAAAACACAGACACCGCCGCCCGACCCACAGGAAGCAGCCATCGCCAAGGTCGAGCAGCTTCTGGGGGTCAAGGACGACACCTCGCGCTTTGTCGCCCTGGCGCTGCTCAAAGCTCTCCTCGACGACCAAGTGAGAGAAGCCGGGAAAGATGGACAAGCGGGCGAAATTTGCTCGCCACGGCTCTTGAAGCTGTGGGACGCCATCCCTGTCAAGTTTCTCGACAAGCTGCTGCGCGCGGACCTCGATGCCCACTCGACGCCAGCAGTACCTCGGCCCGGCAAAGGCGGTGCCGACGCTGCGCATATGCGTGATCTGGCCGTGGCCGTGCTGCACACGTTTGCCGTTCGAATTCTGCCCGACGACCGGCGTGGCGACCGACGGCTTGTCGGCCGTATCCCGCTGCTTGTGGCGTCGCTGCTCAACACGCCATCGTCAAGCGCGCCTCCGTCTGGCGCAAATGCCGGCGCAGAGTCCGCCGCCACGCTCATCCTGCAGTCCCTTGCGACACTTGTCAGCCGCCCTGAGGGTGCGGCCGTCTTCAACACGAGCGTCACCGATCTCAGCCCGCTGACCGAGCTGGCGCCCGAGCAGCCCTTGGTGCTGGAAATTCTGCTTCGCGCCTGGCTGCATGGCTTGCTGGCCGCGACCGACTCGGACGCCACGGCTGACGTTGACGCAATCACAAACACCATCAACACAACGCTGCCCGCTCTTGCCGCCGCGTTCAAAGGCACCGACGGGGTGACGCTGCTGGACTTTTTGGCCCGCTTGCTGCGCAATGCTGAAGCGTTTGCCGAGCAGCAGCAGCAGCAAAGACTTCTTCCAGCAGCAAACCCAGCCTGGGTTGCACCCGCCATCGGATTCATTCGCCGCCTGGCTGCCAGCCGACCCACGGCCGCGTCTCGAGCGGCGTACACGCATGCATCCGCTGCCCTGTTACGCGCCTACCCTACTGTGGCCTCCACCCTCCTGTTTGGCGAGGGTGCCAACGCGGAGACGGCCGGCGGCAAAGCCTCGTTGCGCGAAGACAAACCGTTTGCCTACCTTCTCGTCAGCATGCTCCTCGTCGACCTGCGCGCCACCCTCCCGGGCCTCCTCGCCCAGCTCAACAATCAAGACCACTACCCTGCCAATGCGTCCCGCCTGGCGTCCGCCTTTGACATTCTCTCCGCCTTCATCGGTTACCTCGTGCGCAGTCTGGACGGCGACGGCGAGGAGCAGGACGAACTGCTCACCATGTCCCTGACGCCGGACAATCTGCTGCGTCTGCGCAAGTCCATGTCTGAAACGCTGTCGGTCACTGCCGAGCACCTGCGCGACCGCTGGGACGCCGCCGTCGCCGGTGCCCAAGGGCTGCACCCGGACGCGCGCACGGGGACCGACGACACGCGCACGCATTCGCTGGACACGGCGGGCCTGCCGCTGGCCTGGGACGCCGCCGCGTCCGAGACGACTGTCCACCGTGACCCGCTGGTGCTGGCGGCCGTACGCGCGCTGGCGCTCTGGCTGCGCGAGGACGACAATGACGTGCTGCGGCGCGAGGCGGCGGGCCTGACGGACATGTTTCTTGACCTGTACAGCAGCAGCGGGTCAGCGGACGGCGGCAGCCTCGATTTCCGCCGACCGGTGCTTGTCGCCTTTGAGGGTATCTCGGCCTCGACTCCCGATGGCGGCCGGGGCGGAGACGCCGCGCGTGACGACGATGCATACGAGAGGGATGCGACGGCGCTCCTTCTCGAGCATGGCGCCTGGAAAATTCTCACGGCAGATTTGGTGACCATTCTGCAGGGTCCTGCGTCTGCCGCCGACGCAGCGCGCGGCATCGAGATTGTCCGTGTCCTGCTGCCCATTGTCGAAGACGAGCGCCCGGGCACCCAAGAGGCGTGGATGGACGTTGTCACTCTTGTCGCTGCGTGGGCCGGGCCGAGCGACGATGACAATGACGACGTCAACAACGACGGCCAGCCTTCCCATGCGGATACCGCGGTTACTGCCACCGTGGCCGAGTGCCGCGTGGCCGTTCTCCAGCTGGTCACCGCCCTCGTCGCCAACGCACATCCGTCGGTGCGCCGCCGCTACACGCACTCCATCCGTGCCGTCATTGGGCTGGCCAACCAGCTGCGACCGACTCTGGCACCGTCGCGAATCGGGTCCTCGCTGAGCACAAGTTTAGTCGAGGCGCTTGACGATGTGCATGCCACACTTGAGCAGTGATGATCGAACGGACGAGAATATGCTTTAACCATCATGTATGAAATTCATGTAAAATATAGTACCATAGAGGACTCATGCTATGCACAAAAAAAATATATGGCCGTACGGCAACTATGATGACCGGTAGCAGAGGACGCCAAACAAAATCTGAACAGGAAAACGGATGCCCGAGGATATAAAAAAACAAGGAGAAAATGGGAAATCAGAAACGAAAAGGCCAATCCAAAATGTACAAAATCACAGAACGATCCAAGAAAACAAATGCAAAATAACTTTTCCAAGATGGCCGCCATTTATGCATCCTGCATCAGCTCGACCGGCGGCCGGGCGGTATGGGCCATGAGAGGCTTCTGGACGGCCAGGGGTGCGGCCGACGACTGCCACGTGGCGCTGTTGAGCTCCTCGTCCGTGTTGGCGTCGGTCATGTCCTCGACGGCAATCGCGGGCAGGTCCGAGTGCGTGCTGTGCTCGGCCGGCTGGTAGATGACGAGCGTGGAGCTGCGGCTGCGGCTGCGGCCAGTGCGTTTTGCCGCATGGGTCGGGCTGACGCCGGATTCGCTTGCTGGGGACTGCATGCCCAGGTCCTCGTGCATCTTGGCGTCGCCCTCGTCGGGCTGCTCGTCGGCGGCCTGGTGGTGCAGCTTGGCCAGCGCGTCCGCCAGGTCCTCGGCGTGCACCTGCTTGTTGGGTGCCCCCTCGAGGCGCATCTCCCAGTCGTGCGGCGGGCTCGGGGGCGGGCTGATAAAGAAGAGCTTGCCGGCGTCGGGCAAGGCCAGGTGGCCGGCCGCAGTGGCATCGCCCAGCGGCGTGGCCCGGCCGTAGTACACCTGGCACGCGGCGCCCATAATCCGCTCGCCTTCCCAGACGGCGCGTACGCGGGCGGCGTCCTCGGCCGAGTAGAACGAGGCCACAATGCGGCGGAACGACTTGAGAGGCGCCCAGGAGTGAATCGCGGCCGACTGGCTCACGAGATCACGGATGGTCGCGAGGTTGTCGGGGCGGAAGATGTCGGCATGCACGAGGTTGGTGAACAAAAGAGTGTTTGTGGGGAGCGGTGCGGGCGCGGCGGTGGTGGAGGTCTGTGGGGGTGCGATGCCAGAGAGGTCGAGCGTCAGGTTGGAGGAGCGTCTCGAGCGCAGAGACGAAGACGAGGCCCCGGACGGCGCAGAGGAAGAGAGTGAAGACGAGGAAGACGAGCGCGAGAGGTTGTGGCCAGCGGCCAGCGATGGTGCTTGAGCGTCCATTTTGTGTGAAGTTGGAGCTGTGGTGGTGATAGTTGAGAGGGTGTGGTCGACAACGAAGAGGGCTTGCTGCAGGAGAGTAGATAATGCAGGGAAGGATGCAGAGATGTCGATCCGGGGTGACAGGAGGTTAAATACCGGAAACGTGAGGGGGGGTGAGGAGGAGTGCGTGAGGCGTAGGAGGTAAGTACGTATTCGCACTCAGTAGGCAATGTAGTACGGAGCCTCGGTGGAGCGCTAAAGGTTGAGAGTCAAGATGGAGCAAGTGGCAGGGCGGGCGGCAGTGGATCGATCAGGAAGGACAGACCGACACAAAGGCCCAGTGGGGGCGAATTGGGAAGGAGGCGAGCAGTGTTTTTCCCCTGGCCAGACCGCAAGAGGCAAGTGCCTAGGGCCTATCAACGCTGCGGCGCCAGAAGGCGCTAACGAGGTTCATTGCGATAGCTGCCCACCGTATTACGCCAGTGGCTGTTTCCGTTTTGCCTATACGACCGTCATAGTCCGTGGAAACTGCTCGTAGCTGATCCAGCCAATGAGTGGGTCCGTGACGCCCAGCCAAAGGAGGCTGAGCCTCGCTGGCATTTTGCCCGCCAGAAGGGAAAAGAAGGCAAGGAAGGCTGCCGCAGTTTCCGCTGGAGCGGGCTCCGCAGGCGCTGAAACAATAGCTCACCAAGCCGCTGTCAACGGGCCAGAGAGCCCAGTAGGCCAAGGACCTTCAGACCAAGTCGCGCCGAGAGGGAGAGGCAGCCACCGAATGATCTGCCATGTGGTTTCGGAGCATTGCGACGTTTTATTTTGTCTCTTTGTGTCATATTGGCATTTTTCAGTCGTGTTCCACGCGGCATGAACATTCACTGCATCTCATTGTTATTGGACGGCTTTGACTGATCGTCTCGGATGTTTTCTGTTCCTGTTGACTTCGTTCTTTGTCGGTTTGCTCTTTTCTCTGTTTCAGGATTTTGGTCATTTTCCCCAGCTGCGCCTACGTTTTGGTCATTCCCCACGTCACAGGTCAACGTTCGACTCATCACGTTGGACTGTCGTTGTATTACACATGGCCGTGATGCTCGTGCCCAAGGCTGTCTCGGCCCTGTGTTGCACTTGACTAACTTAGGCAGTAATTAAGGGACATCCCAAGTTTTCCCCCGTGCAGGCAGTTTGCGGCGCAAGAACAACTGTAAGACTTGCGGCAGGCGCGATGGGCGTTTGGATTCACACACGGCAGAACGAGTCTTGGTCGCCATAGCGCCGCTACAGCGCCCTACCCAGCCTGAACGCAAGCAATCTTACCGTATTAGCGCGCTTGGGCGCTATTCGGTCCCAACGACACAGCCTGCCACGGACAGCGCAGGCACTGCTGAATCCAGCAAGGCGGCCTCTCGGCTGCCCAGTCAAGCAGCCACTCAGCCTCCCACTCCGCCTGTTTCGCTGGGTGGTCTATGAAATTACGTCGTTGAGGCGTCGCCAGTATGTTATGACCACAACATACCACAGACCATGCTTTCAGGACTGATTTCTAGGATATGGCAATGATATGCTTGTCTACGAAGCACGATGAACGAATTAAGGATGACGGAGTACGGCCACCTTGCTACCACCAAAGAACGAGGCTTGGCTAAGATTGCAAATTACACGATTGCCATGCTGCCTCGCTGTCTGCAGGCCTCTGCTCTATCAGCTGTGTTGTCGAGGTTGCCGTGGCATTGTAGCTGAATGGCCTGTGCATTTGACTGACAGGATCGATCTCCTTGTCGTTCGGTGGCTGGGTCGACTTGAGATGACAACGCCTCATAATACGAGATGCGATATCAAATGCAAACGAAAGTCCTCTGCGGTCGTGGAAGGCTGACTTTTCCGGGTCACGGCGCCTTTGTCACCCTTACGATGGACATCAAGAAAGGCGATAACCAGCCGCCCGGAACATGTGTCACCGTTGTAAAGACCGTTTGTCTACATCAGAGCCGTTCATGTCGACAGTTGCTCAAGACAAAGATGCACTGCCTCATCCGATCATAGCTGTCGGGCAAAACGCAACACCACGCTACGCCTCGCATAATACCACACATATGTGGAGAAAGGTCCAACTGCCGGCCGAAGAAAAGCTGCGTGTATTTTTGACAAGACAGTCCTGACTTACACTGGTTCTGTCCACTTTGTCTCAGTTGTCCCCGTATTGGCTGAATGGTGATGTAAATTGCTGCAGTAAATGGAGACGCTTTTTCCCGTTTTGCTTTCCCTGTTTTGCTTTCCTTACTCATTCCCTTTTCCCATTCGTTCCACATGTTTTATCTTATCGTATCTTACAATGGCTATCGAATACAGCCATGAGCCAGGCAAGGAAGCTACCGGATCTCCACGCCCAGCCGCTGCACCAGCGCGTCCGTCACTTCGTCGTGCAGTCGGTTCGTCTCCGCGTTCGTCAGCGTCCGCTCCAGGCTGCGGTAGTTGATCCGGTAGCACAGGCTCTGCTTCTTCGTCTTGGGGTGCGTAAAGTCGTCAATGAGCTTCACGTCCTCGACCACGTCGCCCGCCACGCTGCGGATCACCTCCATGACGTCGTTGCTGTGCAGGCCGGGGCTGCCCGCATTCGCGTCGGCGGCATCTGCCTCTGCCACCCAAAAGGACACGTCCTTGTAGCATTCCGGGTACTTGGAAAACGGCACAAACTGCCGCAGCCGGTCGAGGTCCGCCGACACCCCGCGGAACTGGCTCAGGAACCGCTCGTCTTGGGACCAAAAGAGCCGAATGTCGGTGATCTGGAACAGCAGCATGGCAATGCGGTCGAGGCCGATGCCAAACGCCCACGCCATTTGCGAGGGCACACCCGCCGCGTCCAGGATCGAGTGCTTCGATATGCCGCACCCCAGCACCTCGAGCCAATCGCCCTCGTAGTACACCTCCAGCTCCCACGACGGGCTGGTAAAGGGGAAATACGCCTCGACCCAGCGCATCCGCAGCGGCTCGTCCGAACTTGCGGGTGTCGCGCTCTCCGATGCCGATGCCGATGCCGCCTGCGACGTCTCGCTCCGCGCCGCCACCGCTGCCTTCTTGGCCCGCGTAAACACCTCCACCACCATCAGCTCCAGCGACCGCTTCAAATGCCGTCCCAGCGCCTCCACCTCGCTGGGTGAATGCTGCGCCTGGCGCGGGTTCCGCTCGTCGTGGAACGGCGGGTCCGGGTCCTCCACGGCAATCCCGTGCCGTGGCAGCGTTTCCAGGTCCGCTAGAATGGCTGCCGTCAGATCGCCGTTTTTGTCCGCGTCTGTGCGCCGGTCCCACACCCGCGCGCCCTCCATCTGGTGGAACACAGGGTAGTGCGTGCGGTCGACCTCGTCACGCCGGTACACGTCGGCACTGAGCAAGAACCCAGGGCTCGCATTGGCCCGGAACGTCTCGAGCTCGTGCGCGCTTGTATGTGTGCGCAGCAGCGTGTCCTCGTTGATGTAATACGTGTCGGAGCGGGCACGGCCGGGGTGGTCGGCCGGGAACCCGAGTGAGTCGAAGTTTTGAAACGTCGACACAACGGGGTGCAGCGAGTTGACGTAGCGGAAGGTCGGTGCTGGGAAACGAGACTCGATAATCTGCCGCGTAATGGCAACCGGGTGGTCTTCTTGCATGTGCAGCCGGCGGGAGGCGGCCGCGACGACGTTGGCCGGCGTGTTGAACCACTTGTCAGTGTTGTATTTGTGGCCATCGATCTCGACCGAGGGTGGGGGTGCCGGCGAGGAAGAAGAAGAGGTGGATGAGGAGGAGAAACGGAGTACTGTGGTGCTGAAGAGGTGCGCCGATGGTGAACGGAGAAAGCACTGGCGAGTCAAGACCGGGGCTGTCGACAGGCTCCGTGCCGCGGCCAAGGCCATAGGCCGCGGCATTCGTATTGCTGCGGCTGCCATTGTGTAGGGCAAAAAGGGTGCAGAAATGGTCAAACAGACACCGCCGCTCTACGTCGGCCGTTCCTGCACGCTGTTCGAGACCTGTCGTGCAAATCCGAAAGTGCGGGACCAACCGTCGTTCTTTCCCCAAGCTCACTGGCCAATGGCAGGGTCGAGTTGACGAATTCGAGGAGTGCGAACTAGTGCTCCAGACAGTGTAATGCACTGTGCTCGCTTCCTGTCGTCCCGTAAGAGCTTGCTGTCTCTCCGTTGGCGGAGCTTTCGGGGAGAGATGTGCCAGACCGGCAGCGACAAAGAAGCACTATCGGGAGGTCCCCCGAATGGACCTTTTCTTCAGGGGGCGTATTACTGTAACCGCCGACTTGCATACTGTGCTTTGGAAGTAGCCGACCTAACAGAAAACTATCGGAAGTAGCGAATCGCAAAGACCAAAAAAAAAAAGGCGATTGAACCCCCAAAATGCACTATGACGCTGTCATCGTTGCTTTTTTCCCCTCGCCTTTCTCCAAAAGTGCCTCTTCTCGTCGCATATCCTCGGCTTCATCGATAACAAACAAGGACATATATCGTTAAGGAACAAAGCAAACTGAGCCAATCTACTACGGAGGAAAGCTTCTTGACCAATTTTGACGTACTTTCCCTGTTTCCCTTTCATTTCACTATTTCAATTCCCGGGGAAAGGCTCCTTCCTCCTGTCGAAGTTGCTCATCCTGCTCACCCCATTCCTTCCTTCTCATTCTCCCTGGACCTCGCACCTTACCTTACCGTACCTTCCGCCGCACCGGAGCAATCGAAGCGAGTTTAACTCCTTCAGCCTTCCCTCTCTATTTTCCATTATTTGGGTCTCGCCTTTCATTCCTCCCATCCACTGCACATCGTCTCGGCCGGCGTCCACATCTTCGCATACAGGCTTCGGCATCACCTCCGCATTGTTTCTTTCTTGGTCTCTTGGTGTCTCCTGGTATCTGTTGGGCTCTGCCTCTGTTCTTCTTCAACCGATCAGGGCCTGCTTAAACTTGACGATCCGCTGCCAATCACCTCATTGCCTTTTCTCTAATCTTCCTTTTTTTCTTTTTTTTCTTTTTTTTTCGTATTCTGCTTCTTCATCTGACACCCCTCGATCGCCGTCCCATCCTCCTGTTTTTTGTGCCTCAACGTGTCTGTGGCTCACCCGTTCCTCTTGCAGCTGGACTTGAAAGCGCGGCTGGCGAGTGTCGATCTGTGAGCAAATGATTAGCTTGTGAAAGCTACACCGCCGCGGTCGATATATGTCATCAACAGTCACTAGTAATTAGATGGCATAACGAAACACACCACACGTACCGCCCACTGCATATAACCCCGTCCACCATGGCGTCACACAAAACCAGCGCACCGGCTACTCCGGCCGTCAAGTCCGCTCCCTCCGTCGTACCGGCGACGGCCACCTCAAAAAAGCCGGCACCCAAGTCGATACACTACCCCTTCTGGTTCGGCGGCAGCGCCAGCAGTCTGGCCGCCTGCGTCACGCATCCCATGGACCTCGTCAAGGTCCGCCTGCAGATGCGCCACGGCGACATGCCGCGCACCATGAGCGGCACCTTTGCCCACATTGTCCGCACGGAGGGCATCCGCGGCCTGTACAGTGGCCTGTCCGCTTCGCTGCTGCGGCAGCTGACCTACTCGACCACTCGTTTCGGTCTGTACGAGGCCATCAAGGGCCGCCTGGAAGAGTACGCCGCCGGCAAGCCAGACGCCGGCCGCAAGAAAAAGAAGGCCCAGGTCTCGTTTGGCGCGCTCGTCGTCGCTGCGTCTGTGGCCGGCATGGCCGGTGGCTTTGCCGGCAACGCCGCCGACGTGCTCAACGTACGCATGCAGCACGACGCGGCCCTGCCTGTCGAGAAGCGCCGCGGCTACCGCAACGCGGTGCACGGCCTGGTGCGCCTGGCGCGTGAGGAGGGCCTGGTCAAGGGCTGGTTTCGTGGCGTGTGGCCGAACAGCATCCGCGCAGCGGCCATGACGGCGTCGCAGCTGGCCTCGTATGACAGCGCCAAGCGCGTGCTGCTGGCGACGACGCCGCTCACCGACTCACTGGCAGCGCACCTGATTGCGTCCTTCTTGGCCGGCGTGGCCGCGGCGACGGTGACAAGCCCGATCGACGTGATCAAGACGAGAGTCATGTCGTCGCACGGCGCCAAGCTGACGACGGTGCTGGGCGAGTTGTACGCGACCGAGGGCCTGCGGTGGATGTTCAAGGGCTGGGTGCCGAGCTTCATCCGTTTAGGACCGTGAGTATTATCCTGCCTCTTTGGCAATGTTCCATGTCTGAGTGTTCCATTTTCAATTCCTGTCTCCTTGCTAACAAGCCAGACACACCATCTTTACATTTGTCTTTTTGGAAGCCCACCGCAAGCTGTACCGAAAGATGAAGAGCTTGCCGGACCCGCAATAGAAACGGCCTTGCTCGTTTTCTCGCACATTTTCTATTTACATATTGTCTTTTTCTTGGTTATATTACGCATTCATGACTGGGCGTTTGGTTTTCTTTTTTTTTTTTTCTTTTTTACATCTAAAACACTAGAAAGACGGACATTTTGGTTTTCTGTTCGTGCTTTTTTTTTCTTCTGCTTATTTCTGCACTTCTTTCATCCTCTTCTTGTCTTATTTCCTTGTGCGTTCTGGATAGACAAGACATAGAGGGGTGTTGTTACCCCGATAGAACGGCTTTTCCGCCTGCATGTGGACTTGGCGTTTGTTTTCACTATTGGTTGTTGCACTGTTCGTGCAGCCATCAACCTTGCGTATTTTGGGGTAAGGAATTAATTATGTGTTATATTGGAGATATGATCTCCTTTTCTTTGGTTCAATTCTGTATTGTTGTAGGTACACCAACTATGCAAATCAAAGAAAGCTCTCCCCTCGAATTTTCGTTGTATAGGCGCAGGAAAGGCAAAAAGCAACGCAAAAGCTGAGCATTATAAATACCAAAGATCCCCGTGAACGCCGCCGCCGTCTGCCCAACCAGCCGAATATGATGGTGTGGTAAAATACAAAAGAGTATCTGAAAAAAACACTCAAAAAAGCTCAGGGTCCTAGCCCCGCTTCTCATCTTTTTGTGCCCTCGCTTTTCTTTTGCTTTTGACTTAGTTCCAGCCCGACTGGCCGGCGTTGCCGTACGGCGTCTGGCCGTATGGCGTCGTGCCGCCTGCACCCCAGCCACCCTGACCGCCGCTGCCACCGCCACCGCCGCCCGCGGCATAAGGCGTGGTATAGCCCTGGTCTTGCCACGAGTCAGCACCTGCACCGCCGTTCATGCCGTTGTACTCTGGTGACTGAGGGTTGTAGTCGTCGTTGCCGCCGAGATCGTCGTCAACGCCGCCGCCGCCTTCTGTCGCATTCAGCTCGTGGATGAGCGCGGCCAGTTTCTGCTGTAGGGCCTTGATGCCGTTCTGGACGATGGCGTCGGGCTCCATCTGGCCAGTGGACTCGATGTCGTAGTAGAAGCGGCCGGGAACTGCGTCGTAATCAAACACCTCGCCTTCCTGGGGGGGCTCCTCGAGGCGAGCGTTCTCAGTTGGGGGCCTGGACAGCAAAGAAAACGATGTTAGGAAATGATTCAACAGTTATGTACAGTAGGGAGACACGAGGAAGCACGACGAAGACAGTGCCCCCTTTCACACTGGGCATACGTACCACTCTTTTGCTGGATCTTGCTCGTACCACATATCCAGGTGATGCAGCTTGTTGTGAGGGTCGTACTCGAAGCCAACGGCGGCCGTCGGGCACCACTTGGCATGCTCCTTGGCGATGCCCTTCTTCGCAATGCACGTCATCTGCAGCTCCTGGCCCTTGCGCAGCTTCGCAATCATGACACCTAGGCCGTCTGGGTCGCGGATCACGGGCGTGCCCACCCACTGGTTGGGCCGCGACGGGTCGACGACCAGGTCGCGCGCGTACACCTTCATGATCTCGTCGCTGGTGCACTTGGCGTGCAGGGTCAGCTTGATGGAGCACAACTCGCAGTACTGCTCGCAGTCGCAGTCGCGCGAGTAGACGACGTCGTCGGCATTTTTGGAATTGAGCGGCACGAGGCCCAGGCGGTGGGCAATAAACTCGTCGGCAAGCACACTCGTGTTCTCCTCGACCTCGACAATGTCGATGGCGATGGTGGGCACCTCGGCGAGCACGATGCGGCGCACCGAGTTGGCAAAGGACAGGTCGACGTTGGTCAGCTCAAACTTGACGCGCTCGAGGTCGGCCTGGGAGATCTTGACGGCGGGGCCAAACGACTCGCCGTCGTCCATGAGCATCGCGTCGTAGTCCATGGCGGGCGACGGGCTGTGAGGAAAGGGCGAGGAGCAGGTGAGGAGGAGGTGAAGGGCGATATAAGTAAGGAAAAGGCACAGGGAAAGAAGTTATCGCCGAAAGACAGGTCTGCCGGTGACTCCTCTCGATACACGGCAAGCAAGAAACGGACGTCGGTGTCGTCGTGGGGGGGCGCAGGGCTGTCGGCGTCGTCCTTGGATTATCGTGAGGCAGAAAATGCAACGAGAGCTTTGCGCGAGGTCGATTTCAAAGAAGGTCCTAGCGGAGCAGGATATAGCTAAGGCTAGGGTATCATTGGTGGCGGTGGCGCTTGTGCCGCGGCGCCCTCATTACTGCTTTCAGAAGTCTCTGTATTATTGTTGTCAGCATAATAGGCCCTGAAGCTGGGCACGTGAGGATCCCTACAGCAGGCCAGCCGAGCAATTGTCCAATGTGCTTGCTGTCGAACCAGCCAATTAGAGGCACTCAGCAGCCGGAAACGGAGTATTAAGTGGGGACACTCTTTGTATCCCCCTGGGCATGCAAGATTTTCAGTGTGCTCGCTCTGTGGAAGGAACCACCAGGCTGCATGGAAAATGGCAGGCGCAAGTGGAAGGAGAACCCGAACGTCGCATGTAGAAGGTAGTTAAAAAAAATAAAGAAGAAAAAGTAGGAAAAAGAGCTCGTCCCCTCCACCTGATTGAGAAAATTATTCGACGACGAGCTTAACCCGAGGGCGTAAAAACCAAGTTGCTACACGATCACACCAGTCCGCCTCGGCTTTACGTCTCAAGATAACCCGTTGCCATCTTTGTGCCGCCGGCGTCGACCTTTGCTCGCCACCATTCTCTCCCCTACCATCACCACTTTCGACTCTCCCGAAACCACAGCGTCGAATCCCCTCCTCGACCTCACCTTCAAAATGCTTCGCCAGTTTGTTTCCGCCCCTTCCAAGGCCGCGCGCATGGCCGCCCGTGTCCCGCGCACTGCCGCCGCCACCTCTCCCTTCCTCCAGACCGCCACACCTTTCCGCAGCGCAACCGCCACGGCCGCCGTCCGGCCAAGACAGCCGCTGTCCGTTGCTGCCGGCCGGTGGTACAGCAGCGAGTCCGATGCCTCCAAGGCGGATGCCTCCAAGGCGGATGCCTCCAAGGCAGATGCCTCCAAGGCAGATGCCTCCACGGCTGACGCCAGCGAAGCCGCAAAGGACGGCGAGGCTGTGGGCGAGCCTTTGAGCGCCGCCGATGCCACGGCTCTGCGCAAGGACCTCGAGTCCAAGACCAAGGAGGCTCTCGAGTGGAAGGTACGCTCACTCTCTCTCGCTCTCTCCCTCACTCTGTGATGCATACTATACTCTCACCTCCTTCCTATCTATGTACTGACCATCCCACTAGGACAAATTTCTCCGCTCCGTCGCCGACTTCCGCAACCTGCAGGAGCGCACACAGCGCGAGATCCGAGCGGCACGCGACTTTGCCATTACCGGCTTCGCCAAGGACCTCGTCGACAGCGTCGACAACCTGGACCGCGCGCTCTCGATGGTCGCCGAGTCGGCAGTGAAGACCGAGGCCGGCGCCGAGGCCGGCGCCGAGGCTGCGAACCAGGACTTTGTCAACCTGGTCGACGGCCTCAAGATGACGGAGACGGTGCTGCTGCAGACGCTCAAGAAGCACGGCCTGGAGCGCTTCAATCCCAACGGCGACAAGTTCAACCCCAACGAGCACGAAGCCACGTTCATGACGCCCATGCCCGACAAGGAGCACAACACCGTCTTCCACACGCAGCAAAAGGGCTTCCGTCTCCACGGCCGTGTTCTGCGGGCCGCCAAGGTCGGCGTTGTCAACAACAAATAAAATACGAACACACGGCCCCATATACGGACATGTCGATTACTCTCGCTTTTCATCCCATCCACCATCCCTCTTCTCTCCCGCGTGACGTCCTCACGCTCACGCTTTAACGTCGTCTCCTCATATCCTCATGTATACATGCAAATATTCTCGGGCATGCATCTCCCCGCCCTACCTCTACATCATCTCTCATTCATTGCTTGTTGGGTTTGCCTTAAAAATTTCCTGTCATCTGGCATAAATGGCGTTTTTGGGGGCAACTAAAATAAAAAATATTGTCGGGGCGGCGAAGGTGGGGGTCCCTTGGTCTGTAGCATACGATACTCTGCTCATGATATATATTCACACTATTTTTTTTAATATTTTTTTGTTCTGGAACGTCCTGCAAACTCCTCTTTCTTTGACTCTTAAATCTCGTCGGCAGTTGGCTGACACATGAGATTGAGAACATTACAAGACTTGCAAACTTTTGGCTACCTGACCGATGGCATGGGCACAATGCTTTATCACCCGTCAAAAGAAGAGTCCCGCTTCCTTCCATCACACGATGTCTGCGACGCCCATCCGAGCGAGCTGCGCTGCGAGGACCTTGGAGAGCTCGCTCGCGTCGGCCACGTCATAGTCCCTGCACAGGCGCTCCAGCCGGGCCTCGCCATCACGCAGGCGCCGAGTGAGAACTGTCTGCAACTCCCGCCCCTGTGCCAGCTGGGCCTCTGTCTCGCACACTGTTGTTCGCACGCTCTGGAGGTGCTCATTGATGCCACGTACCACGTGGTCACGGCGACGGCGCAACTTCCGCGCCGTGCGTTCGGACTGGCACTGCTGGCGGTAGTGTTCCTTTGCTTCGTCAAGTTGGCGTGCCAGTTCGGCTGCCCGACAGACCGCAAGCTGGTGCTCAATGTTGGCGAGGCACCGGGCCTGTTCCGTGATGGCCGCCTGCGCCTTTTCGTTGGCAGCAACGAGGCTGGCATTGGCCGCTTGCCCGTCTTGGATGGTGCGCCAGCTGTCGCGGAAGGTCTGCAGGAGAGCTCGCTCGGTTTCGAGTCCGGTGGCCATTCTATTCGGTCCCCAGCTGCAGAAAGACCCAGCTGGAGCAGTCGGTGGCCTTCTTCTATGGCAGTGGTCGACATCCAGAGATGTCAAAGTTCCGGTAGCAGGATCAAAGCGGCAGCTATGCACGGCCTCATTGACTTCGGACTACATTCAAAGTGGAGCATGTCAGAGCGTGTCAGCAGTGTACCAACAAAAGTCCAGCAAACAATAAAAGTACGAACCCAAGTAAATGTCTTGGTTCTGCCCGTTCCCTTCCCAGTACCGTTTGAGCTACATGGTCTCGGGCCTTGTGTTGTTGACAATTCGGAGCTTGACGAGGTAAATGATGCTGATGACGGTGACGCGGATGGTACTGAGCCACCAGTTCTGTTATTTTGCTCCCCGCCGTACAAACGAGATCGTAGTTCTTGACAGTCCCACGGTGCCATCCGCTGGAACAGCCAAGGCATGCCGGTTCCTCGAGACAGTTGTTGCTGCTCGCCTTGCCCCTCTTGGAGCAGGAGCAAGTAGAGACCGGCTCGCTCCGGCGTCACTCCTGGTGGTGACCATAAAATGGAGCTGGCGGGTCCGGCCTCAATGCGGTATACAGGACTCAGCTCTTCTCCCGTGTGGATGTCGAACTGCCGCCGGTGGCAATACGGCACAACATTGTTGCACTGCTTTGCATCCATGGACACGTCTAGGATCTTGTCCTGCGGAGTGAGTGGCCGAAGAGACGCTTCGGCTGACGCAGATTGGCGGAGGGTGTCGACATCGTCGAGCGTGCAGCCAGCAGCAAGAGCCCGGAAGATGGCTGGTGATATGCGAACTTCGGCGGGATCCCCATCGTCATCAGAAACGTACGCATCTTCTTCTGTAGTTCGATTTGAGTTGTTAGTCGTGTCTTTCGAGACTTGGCGTCCGCCCATATTTGATGGTCATGGTATGGCAAATCCCATACCGTCAGATTCAAAAGGTCCAATTGCCTTGGTCCATCCTTCGTCCAGCTTGGTGTGATCCAGCAGGTGGTCAGTGATGTCATCCCCGTTGTTATCGCCATCGAATTGCCCTACGATACAGTCTTCGGAGAGTCTTTCAGTCCCCTGTGACAGCAACGGTGAGACAATTGGCTGATCGAAGTAGAAGACCGTCTGGCGTCCGAAATCGTCGTCGTCATTGATGTCGAACGAAAATGGCCGGGACTTGTACGCTGCCTTGTCGTCGATGCAATCGCGAATGATCGCATCATTGACTTCGTTTAGGAGCCTGCCACTATTGTAAGTTTCCTGCTGCACATCAGACGCTCAGAAAGAGAAAATCCAGTCTTCCAAAAATGTGGACTAAACTTGACTTCATCGCGTCCAGCCAGCCTGAACGGGTCATCTACCGTCTCTTGTTCAGAGCCACCTTCGCTGCACTTCTGGGATTTGATAAAACAGCCGAATAACGGGCTTGGCTCCACGTCACGCGGCCCACGCATGGCTTTGTATGCTCTCATGAATGGCATCGTAATCTTCATTTTTGGGAGGACTGCCTCCGGTGCAGCAAGTGATGGTGACACTGCCGACGGGGCAGGAGGCGGGGGGCCAGGCTGGTGCCAGCCAATGCTGTTGTTGTCACCGTTTTCGCCCACGTCGTCCGTGTCTTCCGGGCCGAATTCTTCTTCGGTACGAGCGGGCTCGTCGTCGTTTCTGTCGTCTTCGCCACCTCTTACAAAGCTGAAAGGCAGCGTTGGGCTGTCGTTGAAGGCAACACTCACATCCGAGATGCTGCTGTTGCTGCGGGCATCCTGCCCGCTGCTTTGTCCGTCTTGCTCGTTCATTGTATCGTGTTGTTGCTTTCGCTGGGGTATAATGGTGCTCGTAAAGATATTGCGGTAATAATATATATTTGTGCACGAGGCGGTCAAGAAAAGGTTCACGCCCTTCTCGTCGCGCGTATGAGACGCGCGGATATTTTTGTTGGGGGTTTCATCCGATGTCGTAAGGCTACTTGGAGTATCTGAGCATGTTAGTCAAAGTATTCCGTCTTTAGTCACGAGGCGTGGCTCCATATTCGAACTCTCCTGGAACGAAAACTAGCAGAACAATCTACAGGCCGTCAATGGAGAGGCAGCTGTGTGTAACCTCCGCAACACAAGGGGCCTCCTCCATAGCACGCATTTCTTGTCGATACGTTGACAATAGGACACGAGGACGCTGGGAAAACAATTCGATGTGAATGATACTGTCGACTTATTCGTTAACTGCAGCTAAGCATGTCTCTTTGGCACTTTTCACCCGTCAATAATTGAGTCGATCTTCTGCCCCTTCTTCGTGACGACATTTGGCTCGAGTATGCCTTCTAGCTCTCAACCGCCTTGGCCTTGTAGCCCAGCAAATTGCCGTCAAGATGCGACACCAGCCAGTACTCAACCCGCACCGAATCGATCTGCACGCGGTACACGCGAACGTCGTTGCCCTTGGACTCAACCCGAAGTTCGTCAATCAGAGGCTTGTATTGGCCCTGGGAATCCCAGTCCACAGGGTCGAGGATCGTGATACTGTCGGCGGGCTTGTTAAGCCCTGTGATGCCGACAAACTCATCTTAACTCACATGTCAGCAAAGTGGCTTTCAAAGCAGGCGAGAGCGGACGATCGGATTCGTGTGCTTACCCTCTGTAGGGAGGCTGCTCGCCTCGCCAATGCCGTAACTCACCGGTACCCAAGGCTCGTCCGAATCACTAACGTAGAAACGATCCCTGGCGGCCGTGACGAGTCTCTGCGGGACCTCCGTCTGGCTTACGCCAGGGTGATTTCCATTCAGGCCGTTCGCGCCGTTCGCGCCACTTGCATGGGCTCCGTTTGTGCGGTCGGCGCGACCGCCACTCGGATCTTCATTGGCTTTATCAAGGAAAGCCGCATAGGCGTCGTCCGAGGACATGATGCTGGTTGTGGAAAACCGGAAAGCTTGGAGTTTTGTTCGTTGTTGTGTCGATGTACGTCCGGGAGCCGATTTGTAGCTGTGCCTCTGTTCCTTTGGTATGCAGCGATGTGGCGTCTGCAAAATGACAAAAGGGGCGCGTCTGCCGCTGTGTGTGTAGTTTGTCGTGGCACGGGCGACGAAGGCGACAAGTCGAGGGGCCGCCAGCTTTAAGTATTGTTTTGGGTCATGGGGGTTGCGTTGTGATTACGATTGGCTTAGATGAAGAATAGAGGAAAGAGGCAATTGGACAGGGCAGGTAAGTGCGATCAAAGTGTGCGGGCAGCTTGCTCTGTCGTCCTTGCCCTGAAGCTTGGATTGGAGGGGCAATTTTCGCGATTTGGGGACGGAAGTCATGACGCAACAAAACCTTCCTTCCCGCTCGGGTCCACACTACACTATCGGCGCTACAAAGAAGGCACGACACAGCATGTCTCACATGTATTTAACATTAATCTATACGGTATGGGCGTCATTCAAGGCACACAGTGGCACAGACGAAGGAGTATTTTGGAATATCTTTCAATTTTTTTGCTCATATTGATAAGTTTTAACGCCCCCGATTCACGCGGTGTCGGCCGTCAGACGTATCCTAAAAGGATGGGAGGTGTACGGCGGCATGGCCAGTCCGCCCCCGCGCGACCTTTTTGGTTCTTGGGACGAACGGCTCCCAAAGCGTTCGCCCAACAAGCAAAAACAACAGTTACATGAAGAAACATGAAATAAATAGCGCAAAGCCCATCCCGATTTTCCTGTCCGCCGCTTTTAAATCGTCCGTCCATTGTACACAAGCCCGAACCAGCACCCAAACTCTTCCGCAACTTACACCATTTCTGATGAAACTGCTTATGAGCTGGCGACAAGGTCCTTCTTGAGGGTGCCCTGGACCTGCTGCTTCTCCGCCGGCGTCTGGAAGGCACCGTGACCGAACTCGGACGAGGTGTCGATCCACTTGAGGCTGACCTTCTCGAGGGCTTTTCTGGAGGTGTGCGTGAACAGCGACTTGCGGAGGGTAACGACACGCTTCTTGATACCGGGGATAGAACCCTTGACCATGACGAAGTCGTTGTTGATCTCGCCGTAGCGGACGAAACCACCGAGGCTGCAACCGAGTTAGTAACATTGTACGAAGAAAGCGAATTAGACATAATCTGGGGAGTCCAAACATACGGAGTGATGGTCTTCTTGGTGACATCGACCTCGGTGGAGGCGTTGTCGTCGGCACCGCCCTTGCCAACACGGTAGATCTTGTGGTTGACCGAGGTACGGTGGTGGTAGCCGTCCTGACCAGCACGGGCAACGGTCCACTGGACGTGGGCCGGGTGCCAGGCACCGATACAGGCAACCTTGCGCAGACCCTTGTGAGTCTTGCGCGGCAGCTTCTTGGTGCCCCAGCGGGCGGTGACACCGGTGAAACCGTGGCCCTTGGTGACGGCAATGACGTCGATGACCTCGTCCTGCTCGAAGATGGTGTCGACAGAAACGGGCTTCTCGAACAGACCCTGGCCGAACTCGACCTTGTCGGCGACGGAGCCGCCGTTGATCTGGATCTCCATCAGGTGGGCCTTCTTCTGCTTCAGGGGCGTCTTGCGGATCTGGGTGTGGGCCAGGACACGGACGACCGTGCAGTACTTGCGGATGCGCTCCAGCTCGCGGGCGACCGAGGCACCCTTGTTCTCGGAGTGCTTCTTGGCGTACTTGGTGAAAGCCTTCTTCTTGCTCTTGTACCAGTTCTTGTAGAACCGGCGCTTCAGCTCGTCACCCAGATGCTCAGCCCACACAGTGGTAAGCGACCGCAGGCCGCGGGGGGTCTCGATGTACCCAACAAGGCCCACGACGATCATCTGCATAATAAGATGTTAGCCATTGGCGCATTTCCAAAGCAAGTTGCAAATGCCAAGCGGGCTGCGTCGTACGCACAGGCGGGGTATCAATAATTGTCACAGCTTCCACCACCTCCTTCTTGTGCGCCTTGGCACCCGGACGGTCGAGGTCGCGAACGATCGTGGTCATACCGGCCTTGTAGCCGAGCGAGGCGGTCAGGTGGACCGGCTTCTTCGGGTCATCCTTGGGGAAGCTGGAGAAAAACCGTTAGCATTTTGTCTCGGGCGTAAAAACCATCTGTAGCCGTTCCGCTTCACGGGGCCATCTCGGGGATCCTCCAGGTAGCCACTTACGACTTGACGCGACCACGGTGGCTGGCACTCCGCTTCCTGAAAAATTGTTAGTCCAAGCCCTCCATTTTCAGTCCATCGTTCGGGTCAACGACAGGGAATCGCGCTTTATCGAGAAAGCCGGTTTCGAAGAGAGGGAGATCGTACCGGGGAAGGTAAGCGAGCGAACCGTGGCGAGGAGCCTCGTACTTGCGGTGAGACCTGGAGACCTTCTGTCAGCGAATGTCGTGTGTTGCGGAAGGCGAGCCGGCGGCGACGTTGAGGCCGGCATTGTCGCAATTCCAGAAGTAAATGGCACAGTAATTCATCAGGAAATAATTGCCGTTGTTCAAAGAGTCGTAACTCACATTTTGTCGACAAAGGGTGGGCGGTGATGTTGTTGAGGTTGTCGAAAGTGGTGTCGATGTCGAGAGGGGAGAGGAAGATTTCAGAGGGAAGGGAAAAGTTCGATTATCAAAAAAAAAACTAGTTCACTAAACAGGACAAGCGGGACAATTTTCTGTGCTGAGCAGCCCTAACTCATCACGTGCGCGGTTGGACGTGACTTTTTCAAATTAGGGTGAAAAAAATGCTTCGGAGTTAGGTCCTACACGTGATCAATTTTCGCAGGTGCCACGTGATAGGTATCGTGCCGTGCACGGACCACGAGCGCGTTAAGTGGAAATGCTTACCTGACCGCGACGCGTCGTTCTTTTCATGATATGCCACTATCACTCCGTCTTCCATCGCACATAACCATTTTCGCGGCTCATTTTTGTATTTCTTCGTATTTTGTCACCGACTGCGACCATTGCGGAGTAGTAAACTGATACTCCACACCAAGAAAACATCTCACCACACTCACAATGGCTCTCATTGTCGACAAGCATCGGCCTCGCTCACTCGATGCCCTCACCTACCACCCTGAACTCACAGACCGGTTACGGTCCCTAGTATGCATCCGACCGAGAAGGAGCGAGGATTGGAGTGTCTCTCTGTATATGTATGACTGACTGTGCTGTTCTTTCTTATGCAACAGGCACAAAGCGGCGACTTCCCCCATTTACTAGTTTACGGCCCATCCGGAGCCGGCAAGAAGACACGCATTGTGTCTACCCTGAAGGAGTTGTACGGGCCCGGCGTGGAAAAAATCAAGATCGATGCCCGTGTATTCCAGACAACCAGCAACCGCAAGCTCGAGTTCAACATTGTCGCCTCTGTGTACCATCTTGAAATCACGCCGTCGGATGTGGGCAACTATGACCGAGTCGTCGTGCAGGACCTACTGAAGGAGGTGGCACAGACGCAGCAGGTCGACCAGTCAGCAAAGCAGCGCTTCAAGGTCGTTGTGATTAACGAGGCCGACCACCTAACACGCGATGCCCAGGCCGCTCTTCGCCGGACGATGGAGAAGTACTCGCCCAACCTGCGCCTCATCCTCCTGGCGACATCGACCGCCAACATCATCGCGCCCATCCGGTCCCGTACACTGCTGGTCCGTGTGGCCGCACCAACACACGAGGAGATTTGCAACGTGTTGGCGGCATCGGGCAAGCGCGAGAACTGGCCTGTGCTGAACGGCTTGCACCAGCGGATTGCCGAGTCCAGTGGGCGCAATCTGCGGCGAGCGCTGCTCATGTATGAGGCGGTTCACGCACAAAAGTAAGCTCTATCTGCTGCATGAAGCCGTGTACCGTGTTCGGCCTCTGGCTAACAACGTTTTTGCAGTGAGAAAATTACAGACAACACACCAATCCCGCCGCCCGACTGGGAGGCTCTCATTGGCCACATTGCCAAGGAGATTATGGACGAGCACACCCCGCAGCGCATCCTGCAAGTTCGGGCGAAGCTCTACGATCTGCTGACACACTGTATCCCGCCAACGACCATCCTGCGGACGTTGACATTCAAACTGGTGGCGCTGATCGACGACGACCTGAAGCCCGAGGTGATCAGGTGGTCGGCGTTCTATGAGCACCGCGTCAAGACGGGCACCAAGGTGATCTTCCACCTCGAGGCGTTTGTTGCCAAGTTCATGCGGATATTCGAGATGTATCTCATGAGCATGGACATGTGATGGATGCGGCGATGCTAGACGACAAAAAGGAGCAGGAGTTGAAAACCTGTGTGAATAAGAGAAACAAGGTGGCATCGGTCAGGAGACACGAGACTACGGGTCCAGCTTGTTCCAGTCCTGCGCATGCCCTGCATCGCCTGCTTCCCCTTCGGCGCCTGCTGAGCTTGGTCTTTGAAACGGACAAGCAGGAGTGCCAGCTCATGTAAGCGACAGGTCGCACAGTCGCTGTTACAGAACGAAGCGGCGCATCGCCCTTGTCTCCGCTGCTATAGGAACAGTTAGGAGATTCTGCAACAATTCAATCCGGACAGCGTACGGCAGGGTCTACAGGTAAAGAGAGGCAAATGCATGGAGGCAACGATTACCACACCTTGATGATACCAGGGAGCATTGTTTTTATATTTTTTTTTGGCACAGCACATATGTTCTTGATTTTTTGGCATTGCGTCCGCGTCATTCTGAATGGAGTACTAGAGGAACCGACTGCACTCAACGTCCCACCACTGTGCAATGAATGGACCACTACATGTACCAAGCACCCATTGTATAGATACATGAGATCGTCTCCGACCCGCCAGCACCCATACTCGGAGGATTTATTTGGGGAACTGCCTACATGCTGGGCTTAACGTCGCACACCCAGCGCCTGGCGCCAACACCCCAGCACCATTATCCTGGCGTTCCGTAAGGCTCTCTGCCTAGCTGTGGTGACCGCTTAAATTTTTAGGGCGTCTTATAGGCTACCGGAGCCTGGAGTTGTGAATGTTCCTTGTAGTAGTGTCCTTTGCTGAGCACCAGCTTGAACTGTGCGCCTGTGTGTGGTGATTGCAAGGGTATACATTCGTGCAATTGCTAGGTAAGTCGCCCAACTCCCTTTGATAAATCGCTGTTCTAGTCGCATATTTAGGACAGCAGCCAGTCTGTAATCGTACTCGTTGCTACGCTTTGGTATATTACAAGTGAAGGAATGATCGCCCAGCCTCCATCGTTATCAGCAGCGTTGTACGATGCTTGATCCAGGAGTAAATCTGCTGCAGTGATCTTCGTTGCCTACCCGTCTCCCATAAAGGCCATTTAAAGTCTGTTTGCCGGCTGAAACAGGCCTCGTATCGAGCTGCCTCGTGTTGCTTGTTGAATACTATATTTCGTGCCGAGACTGCATCAAAACCTCGTGGATACTTTATATGTATATGGCATTTCGCAGAAGGTGCCGGGCCGTTTGGAAACTTTTAAAGAGCGCGGGCTTGGTATTAATATGCGGGTTCATGTGTAAATAGGGAATGCTATGCTCTCTGATGCGAACAGGAAAACCACGTCCACACATTCTCATAGTCCCTGAGTGCTGCAGGCGTTCTTAGATAAGATCCACTGTCGAGGACAGCCGCACAGCGTCTTCGCACCCGATACTTGTTTATCATAATTTGCCTTTCATATATTATATGCGGCCGGACGAGAAATGAAAATAAAATAGGATAGTGCCATGCACGAGCAGACCGCATGCCCGATGGGGCTTCATTCACATCCCGTTTCTTTCCATTCTCATCCGGTCCTTGCCACATATTTCCCATTGCCGGAGCCCACTGAAGAACAATGAAAGTCCTGCTAGTTTCCGAGCCTCAATGTTGGGACTGGCGCGTGTTTTGTTGCGTAGTTGGGTTGTCTTGTTCGGCTCTCGGTTGTCATGCGGTAAACCCAAGGTCAGGACAAGGGTAAATGGCGAGTTATGATGAAGGCGCCACAGAAAAGAGACACATTGCCGCGTTCGCGCGGACATACGGCTGAGGTGGACTCTTCCAAGGTTCGCCCTTCTAGAACATTACTCTGTTTTACCATTCCTCCATCGTCTCATTTGCGGGTTGGTGGCCGCTATCGCACGCACGTAATGTTGTGGAAGTGGACCCCTTTTCTTATTTGGCTAGCCCTCGACTCCAAACGAATCTTGCAAGTTAGTCCTAACAGACCTCCGTCCGTCCAGACAATAATACTCTGTAGAATAGCTTTGGTTTCTGAAAGGCTTGAATGACCACAGAAGCCCAAGCCTGTTGATAGATTTCTATTCGGATGAGGAAGTTATTTACATGTTTATTTCGCTGAACCTCCGGAAGCCTCGTTGGTTACAGGTTTTGCAGGTATCCGAGGACTTACCCGAATTTTCGAACGGACGTTGAATCTGGTGTTGCATAGTCTATTGTCTTGACAGCCACTCCAACAAGTGGAGAAGAGGATTAGGCAGTGAGGAGACGTGACATGGAAGCGTGAGATCTCGGATCTCCAGAGTTGCGCAAATCTATTCGCTGGGAAAGGATGGGATTGTGCAAGTCGTATGTCCAGGGTAAATTCGACCAACAGACGTCTTCAATTCTCGTTTGCTTCTGCGGCCAGGTACAGCATGCAAACGTCGTACAGATGTGGCACAGCGAGGGCCGGGGACGCAACGACGGCCTGGCCTAACTCTAAACCGTGAGCGCCTGTGATGCGCACCTGGTCGGTGAGCAGAGCACGGTCACTGGTTCTTTGGGCTGCCGTATTGTTCGGCGCGTATGTGCAGCGACGCCGGGCCCTAGAGTCATGAATCCGCCAGTCGACTTTCGTTGACAGAGGCTGTCGCTGTTGATATAAGAAGCAATGGCAGTGCAGTGGCACGTCTGCTGTGAATTTCCATGTTAACAGCCGACTGCCGACGGAGACGCACCTTTGCGACTTCTTTGAGTGTGCTGCAAGGTGGCGTATATGCCTCCACGGACGTCTGCCGCTGGCCCAGCAGGCGATCCCTGGTGGTTGTTTTCCTCCCTCTTTCTTCTCGGAACTCTTTCGTCGTTTTCTGGTTGCAAACTTCCCTTCACCCATAGCCCCAGTTGCGACACCATACTGAATCAGGCCAAACGCCAGGAGCAAAAGCGGGTTGGGTTGGATTGCATGGAGGGGAAGCTAAACCCTTCGGGGGTACACCCCAACTCTTGTAAGTACTGTCGAGTCGCACCGGATGTACAGCAAGGGGCTTTGTGGTGGCCCAGTCGTCTGACACTTCCTGGCTCCTAGCTTTTCTTTTGGCGGGAGAGTCGAGCTGGCGAAGTGGTTAGGGGGATGATCCCTTGTAATCGATACACCTCCATCTTGTATGATGTACTTCGTACAAACAAATACGACGGGAGTGGGGAAGATGGCGTGTGCAAATTGTGTGCGGTTGGTTTTTTCGAGATGCGAATGGAGTTGTTGTACGAAATATGTTGTATTTTGTTGAAAAAGCGCCGCCGATCAGGCCAAGCTGCTAACTCAGATGGGATGAATGGGGAGGCATGCACATTTTCAGCATGAGGAAAGAGACAGGTCACTAGACTTTATTTTCCCTGTCGGGGAGAAGGAAGGCAGAGGAAAACAGCAGCCGACAAAGGAGGAGCGAATGAGCCAGTCGCTGGGCCTTCCCAGCGATTGGACTAGGGCGACTTGTTTGTCAACGAAAAGTGGAGAATGCGCTTCTTGCAGCCAACAAAAGCACAACGGGCTAGTGCGACGGAGAACGAACTGCGAGCGACTAACCAGTGCAGACGAGATGGAACACGAACGAATCCTCAAACGTTAATTTTGAAGGACACGACCGCTAAGGGGACAATGTACCGATACAAAATGAGCAAAATGTGGCGCAATGAACATGTGTAGAGAGATGTGACCCAGGTACATAAGACACAAATAGAGCTGCGGCTGCAAGAGCAAACCCAGGACCAACACAGTTGCTTCAGCGGGTATGAGGGAGATCTGCCGTTGGATAGGGTGCTTGTGCTCGAGAGCTCTTTCCGTTCCTACACTGGGACACACAGAGCGAGTGCGGGGTTCGCTCCTTCGTGGCTTCTCCTTTTCCCAGCCTCTTGCCTTGCCATCTCCACTTGAAAATAACATCCTCCATCCATAAATCACCGAATAAAAGAAGCACATTGTAACCTGCAAAAAGCCCACAATCGTTTGTGCGACAGGAACGCTAGACCCTTTGTTTGTCCGGGTGCCTCGCATCGTTCTCGCCATTCGTGACAAAGACCCTGTCAGGTACACGATGTGGTAGTCTGTGAAGGTTAGAAAGAGGGGGATGCAAGAACGTAAGCAAGCGAAATCACAGTATTTTCCCGTGCTGGCGGGAAAAAGCGCCGAAGGAAAAATGCGACCCCTGTCAACAAAAGAAGAGAGGACCGTCGTGAGCAACCCCATACATGTGTGTTGTAATGGATGTGAGGTATTAATGGGGTAGAATTTGTGAGGCATACGGCCCCTATGGCGAAAGTTGCATGTTCATGCGCGGCCTTCCTTTTGCCGTTCATTGATATATAGTCAAGTCTTTCGGTCGTGGCGGTCTTTGGTCGGCGAGGTTACGCTTGTTGAGCAAAGGGCGATGAATGGTGCTGGTGCGCATCTGCTTGGTTTGTGACCAGGAAAGAAGGCGCAACTGCACGAGATAACTGCACGAGTTGAAAGTCTCACGGTCTCGACTCAGTTGCAGGGAAGGTGCGACCGCCAACCCTTCGCCATCATGCAGTGTAAAATCATGGAATTACTTGTTCTGTGCAGCTTCCCTGCCGAGCAACGCACCTACCCAAGACGGTACTCATAAGACGTAAACATCCTTGCTAACAACCATCGCCATCTTTGTCTCTCACCCCTCACTCCATAACAAACACAACGTGTGATGGCCACAAGCAACGTCAGGGCTCGCGTCTGCCCCTCTTCTCTCACTAGCACACGGCCGCAGTTCCCGCAGTCACCGGGTGCCCAGCAACATTGTTCGGTACAAGCACCCATAGTCAATGAGGGTAAGCCCCAGCGGCAGCGCCAATCCAGACGGGAGGGTGGGACGAGGACGCCGAATCGACGTCGGGCAGACGGAATCGCCAATCCATCCCAAAGCGGTTGTGTCGTGACCTACGAACGCGCCAAGCGCTTGTCACGGTACATGTTGTTGCATCCAGTGCCCGCCCTAGCGTCTGGTACGGCTTGTAGCACACGACGAGCCAACAGCGGGCATGAGTGCGACGTGACAGCATCCAAGCAATGCATGTGAAGCAAGACGAAAACAATCAGGAGTAACAGAACAACGAGGGACAGAAATAGGACAAGATTGCGAATTGACGACTTACTTACCCCAGTTCTCCAACCACAGATTATGGAGGTTCGAACGCAGGTCGGTCTAAACACATCTCCAGAAACGCAGCATTATTTCCGTGGCTTGGCCTGGCTCACCTGTCGTGTAAGTCGAAAGTACTCATACATCTTCCTCCCAATCTCGTCTCCCTTCCGTCCATCCAGCTTCTGTGGTCTTCCGCACTTGTGCCTGTGTGAGCTTAGGGCTGCAACTCCCGACATCCCTCTCTCCCCCCGTTTTGCCCCCTCCCCCCTTTTCTTTCCCCTACTCCGCCTTCCAGGTGGCTGTTTGTGCTTTCTTCCTGGTCCCCGCGCCATCTGCATCCTCCACTTCCGTGGTCCTCTGATAGTGCAGGCTATATGGCTGGCGCAAACATGGTTACTTGGAGATGAATTTTGCACTAAGAACAAACACTGTTCCACACATACGCTACAAGTGGGTGCCGTAATGCTAGCGATAGCTCCCCGGTCCTCACTGATCGTCTGGTCGCAGTCCAGTCCATTCGCATGTCCGTTTCTCCCGCTGACCAGCCAGCAGCTCGTGGCCTCGACTTAATAACGGCTTCCTGCCCCGTCTCCGCCATGCTGGTAGCTTTCCCTTCTTCTTCTTCTTCCCTCCCTCTTCTTTCTTGAACCTCTTCTTTTCCCACATCTCTTTTCTCCAGCCCTCCCCCGGTCCCTGGTCTTGACAAGGCTGAACGTCTAATTACCCCACCATACACGTCTCTCTCTCTCACTTCTCCCACTCTTGCTGTGCTGCCCTCGTGCTTCACCAGCAACAACACGGTACGTTCTTACCCTCCGTCACACCCGTTGAAATACGCAGCTCGTCGAACTCCCGAACAGCCGCCTTTGACCTCTGAGGCCGGACCCTAGTTGCGCCCATTTGATCTTTGGAGTTTGTGCTGACTAGTATTTGTTTGTCTTTACTTCACCTGCAGCTCTTAACAGCTTGCTTCGATTTCGGCACGCCTCGAGTCACCTATTCTTGGAATCAGCTCGTCCCGGCCTTCCCTGGGTGGCACTAGTTCAAAGCGTGACTCCGGCAAAGCCTCTCCAACGTGTTGCAACATTACAGAAGACGAGCAAACTTGCGTCCCCAGACCTCTTTCGTTTATATCTCCCCTTCTGTCACTCACGATGACTTCGTCGCCGCCCAAGGCCCCTGTTGTGGCTGAGGCCCATGAGGTCGACACATTTCGTAAGTTTTGTTTGCCTCGGTTACGTCTGGGAAGAAGTGCGGTAGCACAGAACTTGTTGAGCCAGTTAGGCCAACCTGAAAGCGCCGTAGACACTAACTCAACTTTTTAAAATCACAGACCCACCGGAGAAGATGCTGGCCAGTATGTTGCACCCTGAAATTCCAATTGAGTCCATCCTCGGAACCAGGCTGCGCGGTTGTGTTGCTCTGCCTCTGCAGCTCCGACCCGGGCAGCTCTGTGCCGAATTTGAGCACGATCGAGAGCCCCAGGTTGCGCTCAGAGGCAGGTGCGCAAAGCGATTCACCGTTTCGATTGACCTAGGCTTTGCGAATGGCGAAAGTTGCAAAACAATGAAGAAAGAAATTTATTTAGAAATGCAAGCTAACTGGTGGAACCGCAGAGCATCCGTCAAAGCCACATCTCGCCAGTGAGTCTTCCCATCCGTTTGCCCTCCCCCTGGTGCGCCCCTCGCTCCGAGACGGCTCTCCCTTATCTGCGCTTATGGGACATGCAATTACGTTCAGCGCCACCATACCCTCCAAACCGCTTTTGTTGGCGCTAACTGACCGGCAAAGACATCCAGGAGTACGAGAAACTCTACGAGGAGTCCATCAAGGAGCCGGAAAAGTTCTGGGGCCGCCAAGCACGCGAGCTGCTCACTTGGCAGCGTGATTTCCAGACGGTCAAGAGCGGTTCTTTGGACAACGGCGACTGCGCCTGGTTCCTTGAGGGCCAGCTTAACGCCTCTTACAACTGCGTGGATCGCCATGCTTTCAAGGACCCCAACCGGGTCGCCATCATCTACGAGGCCGATGAGCCCAACGACGGCCGTAGCTTGACCTACGGCGAGCTGCTGCGCGAGGTGTGCAAGACCGCCTACGTGCTGAAGAAGATGGGCGTCAAGAAGGGCGATTCGGTTGCCATCTACTTGCCCATGATTCCGGAGGCTCTGATTGCATTCCTAGCCATCACCCGTATTGGTGCGATCCATTCTGTTGTCTTCGCCGGTTTCTCATCCGACTCCCTGCGCGACCGTGTTATCGATGCCGAGAGCAAGGTTGTCATCACCTCCGATGAGGGCAAGCGCGGTGGCAAGCTCATTGGCACCAAGAAGATCGTCGACGATGCGCTGAAGCAGTGCCCCGACGTCCGCCATGTTCTCGTCTACAAGCGCACCGGCGCTGACGTGCCCTTCACCAAGGGCCGCGACCTGTGGTGGCACGAGGAGGTTGAGAAGTGGCCCTCGTACATTGCTCCCGAGCCCATGAACTCGGAGGACCCTCTGTTCCTTCTGTACACGTCCGGCTCGACCGGCAAGCCCAAGGGCGTCATGCACACCACGGGTGGCTACCTTGTTGGTGCTGCTGCCACCGGCAAGTACGTCTTCGACATCCACGAGGGCGACCGCTACTTCTGTGGTGGTGACGTGGGCTGGATTACCGGTCACACGTATGTCGTCTATGCGCCTCTTCTGCTAGGCGTTTCTACTGTCGTATTCGAGGGCACACCCGCCTACCCCAACTTCTCGCGCTACTGGGACATCATCGAGAAACACCAAGTCACTCAGTTCTACGTCGCACCCACAGCGCTGCGTCTGCTGAAGCGCGCTGGTGACCAGTACGTCAAGCATGATATGAAGCACCTGCGTGTGCTCGGCTCCGTGGGTGAGCCCATTGCCGCTGAGGTCTGGAAGTGGTACTTTGAGATCGTCGGCAAGGAGGAGGCCCAGGTTGTTGACGTATGTTATTTTATTCACTTGTATCCTGTCACTCAGTTGCCGCTCATCCACATAATACTAACCGCCGCAGACCTACTGGCAAACCGAGACCGGCTCCAACGTTATCACCCCCCTTGCTGGTGTGACCCCCACCAAGCCCGGTTCAGCGTCGCTGCCCTTCTTCGGCATCGAGCCTGCCATTATCGACCCCGTCAGCGGCGCCGAGATTACGGGCAACGATGTTGAAGGTGTTCTTGCTTTCAAGCAGCCATGGCCGAGCATGGCCCGCACCGTGTGGGGCTCGCACAAGCGCTATCTCGACACCTATCTGAACGTCTACAAGGGCTACTACTTCACGGGCGACGGTGCAGGCCGTGACCACGACGGCTTCTACTGGATCCGGGGCCGCGTTGACGATGTCGTCAACGTTAGCGGTCACCGTCTATCGACGGCTGAGATTGAGGCTGCCCTCATTGAGCACCCGGCTGTGGCCGAGTCGGCTGTCGTCGGCGTGCACGATGAGCTGACGGGCCAGGCCGTCAACGCCTTTGTGGCTATCAAAGACGGCAATGAGATCAACGACGCCCTGCGAAAGGAGCTCATCCTGCAGGTGCGCAAGAGCATCGGTCCCTTCGCGGCACCCAAGGCCGTCTTCATCGTTCCCGATCTGCCAAAGACCCGCTCGGGCAAGATCATGCGGCGTATTCTGCGCAAGATTCTGGCCGGTGAGGAGGACCAGCTCGGTGACATTACTACGGTACGTTTTCCCCGTCTCCTCCGTCTTCTCCGTCTCCCTCTCGTATTTTGTGTCCGTATTTTGTGTCATGTTTGTCAAGCCTTAACTGACTCTCGTTAGCTGTCCGACCCGACCGTTGTCGAGAAGATTATCGCTGTTGTGCACGACGCCAAGAAGAAATAAGCGTCGAAAACGACAAATCCAAAAGAAAAGAAAAAGAAAATACGTACGAGATCAACGTGATGAGAGGGTTGATTTAGTTTAGTCTCTTTCATGCCATGATGTTTCCTAACAACGTTCCGCTTGACATTGCTGCTTTTCTTCTTGTTCGGGATGCCCTGTTTCTTACTTTCTTTTTGAGGCCGGCGAGGTGGATGGTATACCACACAACAACGATTTGTTTGAGAACGTATATAGGACCATGAAAATGAAAATATATACAGTTTGATGCCATCTCGCGGGTACGCGATGAACGAGAGTGTGTCGTACATCGGTCAACGCTGAGATTCCTAAAACAGCCTGTTGAACATTTCGGTAGTGTTTTTGGCCGTGCTTGGCCCGCCTCTCTGGTTCGGCATTTTATCCGTGCAACGCAGAGGGAGTGCTCTGTTTTACTCTGTATTTCTACGGAAAAAAGGTGTGGAGGCCAAACGAAGAAAAGCAACCCTGTTGAAACGTCGCACATGCAGGTGTGGCTCAGGCCCCGGCCCAGAAAAGTCGACCTGGTAATTGGTGATTGTAACTGTGTCAGATGACGGTGACAGAAATCCTCTTGACAAAGAAGGACGCGCAATGCTGCGCTGGGCTGACCTGCCCCTTCATCTTGGCAGGCGATGCGATTGTACGGACGGAGGGAGTAATACCCCGTACCTTTTCTCAAACGCCTGCACTCTTCAACATACAGCCACAGATGGGTACTAGCTCGTATTGACCACTATTTCGAGTAGCAAGTTGCTCCACCCCGCTACTGGAAGGTCCACACGCCAATACGGTACCAACCCGTATTACACATCATACCACGGCTTGTTCACTTCTCCCTTGGACACGAATCTCGAAAACGAAAGAGGCAAAAGTATGTCGTACTCGTAGTCAAGCATAAAAACATGGTTAAAAAGCAAGACATGAACGCTCCAGGAAAGTCGGAACGGCGTTTGGAGAGAAATGTCCCGCCACAAGAGGTACAAGTGTCACGAAACAGGGATTTTGCAAAAAAGGTGAGATGAAGGAGGCCGCACCGAGAAAAGCGAAAAGCAGGATTCGGTCGCATCGTCCGGCCAATCTCTTTTTTGCGTGCAGCATCCCACGCAAATCCTTTGGGCCTCTCGCTTCGCTGCTGGTCAGAGCAGCAGGAGAGGCCGAAGGAGACACTGACGAATCCTCTGCATGTCTCTGCAGAAACGTGTGGCTCAACAAAAAAAAGTCGTCCCGTGTTCCGGACGCTCCTGCTTGGTTGTAGTTGGTGTAGGTGGTGTAGTTGGTCCTCCCTCTACCGCACCTTCCATGCCTCGTTTGTCTCCCGCCGCCTTGGTTCTTTCCTGCCCCGTCCCCGTTTCTTTGTCTCGGCCGCAACTTCTCTGTTGGTTGCGATCGTGAAAAGGAGAAGGCAAAAATAGGAAAGGACTTGGAGAGGACGTAAAGAAGCGTCGGGCGTTCCTTCTCAACTTCGCAGTTGCCCCATGACGCCGTCCCATTCACACGCATTCCATCCCTAGTCGAAAGGACGGCCACGCCCAGCCCGCCAAGCACCCCTAGCGCTTCATTTTGTGGTCTGCATCACCTCCCAGCCTCACAGCCCATCCCCTCTCACGTTTCGGCCTCAGTTTCTCGTCCACGACGCCCGGCGCCTGGCCCTTTTTCTATTCCCACGCAGCCTCTTTTTTCCTTTTCCGCTGCGTCTATCGTCTTTCGTTCTTTCTCGTTCGCCGTCCCCCGATGCCAAGGCCCGTTCCACGTCACCTCCACCTCTCGACATCGCCTCCCTCCTCTCCGAGGCTTCTTTCTTTCTCCAACTGCCGTATCGTCAGCTCGCTGTGATTCCTGTTGCTTAGTTGCCCTTTTCGGTCTGCATCTTATACTATCTTATACTACGCGTCTTTGTGGCCATCTCGCTCAGCCACACTCTTCCCACAGACTATACGCCGTGCGACGAAAGACACCAGTATCTTTGTTTATATATCCCTTCATCGCGTCCCAGATTCGCGCCACGTTGTCTCGACGTCCTTGTTGTTCTCGCTTTCTACTGCAAATCTGCTTACCGTCGACTCGATTAACACATGGTCAACACACCACCTTGGTAACTGGAACCGACGGCGCAGCGCTGCTCCCTTACTTCGCTCCCAACTATGCGGAACTCATGGCGGCCACGTCCAGGTGGCTCCCGAGGCGCCTCTTCCGGCCCCCAACGACACTTCGTCTCACTCAAATCTACGTGCGCCGTCTCGCTCTCCCGGCCGTTCGCCTTTCTTCTTACGACCCTCCTCGCCCTCAGCTGCCTCATCTCTGGCGTTCATGCTGAGTCTCGACCACGAAATCCTTTGCGCACAATCGCCCGCATCGAAGACGCCGTCCTGCATGCACCATCACACCGAGTGCACGCGCTCTCGCATTTCCAAATCTCCCTGACGCTGCACCAGGAAGACTCTGGCCGCCGCCTGCCGGTCCGCCTCCGTCTTGAGCCAAACCACAACATCCTCGCCGACGATGCCGCCATCCATCACATGAATGCCGACGGCACCATTGTCGTTGAGAAGATCAACCGCCTCGACCACCGCGTCTTCATGGGCCACGCCTTTGTGCAGACCGGCCACGGCCTTGTTGACGGCAACATCAATGACAACCACTGGATCAATGCCGGCTACGCCAGTGTCTACATCCATGCCGACGGCGATCGGCCCATCTTCGAGGGCGCCTTCCATCTAGCCGGCGACCACCACCACATCCAAACCAACCGCAACTTCCTCCACACACGCGTTGCTGGCGATCCAGTCATTGGGTATGAGACCGACGAGTTCATGGTGGTGTGGCGCGACTCGGATATTCTGCCGGATGCAGCCATGCTCGACGTGGAGCTGCGGCGCCGGTTGATGCAGCGGGGCCTGGACTCGACGCCCGTCGGGAACGACACGATTGACGGCAGAAGCCTCCTCGCTCCAGGGTGTGTCTCGGACGGCCTGGCATTCAACCAGGATGCCTTGCACCCGATCTACTCTGGCATGGACATTGACCGCTACACGGATATTGTCAAACGCGCGTCCGGCTCGGTGGCGTCCGCGTCCAGTGGCAGGTGGCTGTTTGGCCGCCAAATTGATGGCACGGGTGGCACAGGCGGCAACGCCGGAGGCATCAACCTCGCATCGACCATTGGCAATCCGTCGGGCTGCCCGACAGCCCGGAAAGTGGCCCTCATGGGCATTGCCGCCGACTGCAACTACTGGAACCTCTTGCGGGACAACACGACGGACAACATTGTTGCCCAGGTGAACGCGGCGTCACGCGTGTACGAGAACACCTTTAACATTTCACTGGGCATCCAGCATCTTCTCATCCAAAACAACAGCTGTCCGAGCGATGCGTCGACCACCGCCACGCCGTGGAACGCGGCCTGCGGCCTTTCCATTACAGACCGCCTGAACCTCTTTTCCAAGTGGCGCGGCGAGTCCGCCAACGACAACAACGCCTTTTGGATGCTCCTGAGCACGTGTGCCACCGATTCGGCCGTCGGCCTCGCCTGGCTGGGACAGCTGTGCGTGCCGGGGTCGCAGTCGAGCGGGTCCCAGACCATCGCTGCCACCAACGTCGTCATTCGAACCTCGACGGAGTGGCAGGTCATGGCACATGAAATCGGCCACACATTTGGCGCCGTGCATGACTGCACCAGCCAAACGTGCAGTGACGGCACCTCGACGAAGCAGCAGTGCTGCCCGCTCAGTGCCTCCAACTGCAATGCCAACGGTGCCTTCATTATGAACCCGAGCACGGGCATCGGCATCACACAGTTCTCGTCGTGCACACTGGGCAACATCTGCTCTGCCATGAGACGCAACAGTGTCAAGTCGTCGTGTCTGAGCAACAACAAAGACGTCGTCACCGTCACAGGAAGCGAATGTGGAAACGGCATTGTCGAAGCCGGCGAGGACTGCGACTGCGGCGGCGTCGAAGGCTGCGGCAGCAACAGCTGCTGCAACCCAACGACGTGCAAGTTCACGGCCAATGCGCTGTGCGATCCGTCCAACGATGAGTGCTGCACGCCAACGTGCCAGCTCGCAGGCAGCGGCACGGTCTGCCGCCCCAGCACGGGGTCATGTGATCCGGCCGAGACATGCTCGGGCACCAGCGCCGCATGTCCTTCGGATGTCACGTCGCCCGACGGCATGACGTGTGGCGCTTCGGGCTCCGGACTCACGTGCGCCTCGGGCCAATGCACATCGCGCAACTTACAGTGCAAGACACTCATGGGATCGCTGACGACGAGCAACGACACCTACGCGTGCAGTTCGCAGGGCTGCCAGCTGAGCTGCGCGTCGCCCGAGTTTGGCCCCAACACGTGCCTCTCTATGAACCAGAACTTCCTCGACGGTACACCGTGCCAGGGCGGTGGCCATTGCAACAACGGCAACTGCGAGGGCGTGTCTCTTTCCAAGGAAATTGCGGAGCTGTACCGCAACAATCTCGCGATTTCCATCCCCGTTACGGTGGTCGTCGGTATTTTGGTGCTCCTGCTCTTCTCCACCTGTCTGTGCTCCATTGCAAAAGGGCGCCGTCGCCGCCGGCACCTGCGCCAGCTCGCCCGCATGGGCATGCCGCCGCCGCCTGTGCAGCCGCGCTCTCCTGGGTGGTTGTTCGGCCTGGGAGGCAAGCGGCTGTCGAAGAACACCAATGCCGGTCCAGTAGGCCCAGCGGGTCCAGCGGGTCCAGCGGGTCCTCCGGGTCCTGGCGCGACCGGTGCCGGCGTCTACGGTACATACCGTGGCTACGCTGTCGGTGGCGCACCCGGTGCCACCAACGTGGCTCAGAACGTGCCGGCCGCCGATGGTGCGCCCCGCTCACGCTGGGCGTTCTGGCGCTCCAGCAACACGGGCGACAACACGAACAAAAACACAAGCGCAGAATCCGTCAACGTCGCCCAAGTCCCGCCAGCACAGCCGCGAAGCTTGCACGACGATGGAAGCAACTCGGCAACACCAAGTGGCAATCTACCGCCGTCGGTGGGTCCGTGGAGAATGAGCGGCTACGGCGGGGGCCCAGGCGGCCCGGGTGCACAAGGACCACCACTGCCACCGGCCTACGACGTGCGGCCACAACCGCAACAGGCCCCGCCACAATGGATGACACAGTCGTTCCAGGCTCCTCGGTATGCTTGACCCGAGATGATCAAGAGCGTTTTCCAGCTCATTTTGTACTTTTGTAGCGTTATTGCGGCTGGTACTATTTTGTTTTTGAATGAGTTATGCTGGTTTCATGGGCGTATTTGCATGGGTTTCGGGTTTCGGCTTTGCATCTTTTCCATCCTCACTAGCTCTACCTCTCCGGCGCATATACAAAGAATGGTGGGACACAAACCCCGTATATATAATAGATTAGCTAGGAGGAGTACGTTTACATATCTGGTCATATCCTGGTTCTGGTACATACATAGCAACGAAATTAATCTGGCATTAATCATGACATGAAAACAAAATGAGATAATGGTTTCCTCATAGACAAAGGCAACTTTGTAAGGAGTACTGCTACCCCGATCATAAAAGCTAAGTGGCGGCACTAGATCGATCTATCGATGGCCCAACGGCCCAAGTCATGTCCTCCTCTTCCTTCGGGTATCAAACTGAAAACTGAAAGCTGAAAGCTGAAAACTAAAAACTGAAAACTGAAAACGGACGCGAGTAATAAAGCGGTGAATGTACGAAAGAAACAGGCTGTGGGCCACCCCGGCATTTACTGCCTGGACGTCCTGCTACGACCGGATCGACTGCTGCCGCCGTCCTTGCCATAGCCAGCCCTCTGCTGCTTGGCCGTGCCGGTTGGGTCGTGTTGGCCGTGGGACGACGAGCCGGCCGCTACCGACGACGGCGACAGCATCGTGTCGGTGTCGTAGCCGCACATGATGCGCATAAAAGTCATGCGCACCGCGGGGATGGACTGACGGCGAGAGGCGGTCGTTTGTAAGCCAGTGTTCAACCCAAGGAAGAGGGGGGGAGGGGGAAGGAGAGGACAGGGGTGTTGGCGGACGGATGGAACTCACATCGTTCAAGCTCTGGGCGTACATCATGAGCAGCTCTGGGCTGTCCAGCACCGTCGTGGCATGCCGGCGGCGCTCGAGCTTGGCAAAATTGTCGAGCGGCGCCTCTTCCGGCCGCAGCTGGGGCCCGGGCGACGGCGGGCGCACAAAGTTGGGCGACATGTGGTGGACAGGGCCGGCGCCGGGGGGCCTGCGCTCGGCGGCACGCACGCTCGCCAGGCGGTCTTCGTAGTAGGGCTCGTTGCGACGCGTCAACTCGTACCTAGGGATGTTAGTGGTGTGTGCGCAAACGCAACACTACTGTACGGAAGCACAGTACGGGGAGAAGGGGGAGGGGGGGAGGCCATTGTTGCATACGGATCCTTGCCCCGGGCCTGGAGGTCTTGCATGTCGTCCGTGAACGGCTGTTCTGTCGGCGGCATGCGCATAGTCGCGTACGACGCCGGCTGCCAATTGCGGTGACCCGGTGGCCGGGCATAGTGGCGTGGTGTAGACGAGCCAAAGGCATAGTAACTTGGCGTTGAAGGCACTCCAGGGCCGTTGCCGGTGCCGGGGGTTTGTCCCTGGCCACTGGGGCCGGCAGGATTCGGGAGCTGCAGCTGGTCTGGCGACGGCATGTGGCGTGTGGAGGTGACAAACGGAGATGCGCAAGCGGATGGACTCGACGGTGTGTTTGTTGACGGGATGGTGTGCGACAAGAAGTGGGAGGTATTATGGTATTATATGAATTACGTGCAAGGGGGAGAAAGACAAAAGCAGCTCAGAAGTACGGCTTCGAGCTTATCCCGGTTTCGGACGGGAGGAAATTCAGCTCCTTCAAGAGGACAGCTCTTGCATCGACGACCTAGACCTTTTCCTTTTCCGCTTGCTGTGTCCGTGCTTGTGTCCGTGTATTCTGTTCGGTGGCCTCAACAAATCTGTGACGAGGCACCGCCTTCTCTAAAATTAGAAAGGAAATAGCAGCCCCCTGCGTGGCTGTTTCCACGTCACACAAAGGGGGAACTGGAATATAAAAACTGTTGTGACCAAACAGCAAAGGAACGACGGAAGACGCGTTCAAAAGCCGAGGCCCTCGATTGTGACTGCCGCCGGTTGAGGGTCCCTTCGTTTGAGGCGTGACACGTGTTTAGTTCTCGATGACGACAAAAGGTTGCGTTTTCCAAAGCAACCATGGATCCTAATATGTATTGTCACCTGGCGGCGTTGAACGGTCCCGGAGAGCACATTGGCTGTCCTTTGATCGTTGCGAGAAGAGAATCTCCCGAGGTTGTGCAAATGCTCGTGGCTTGAGCGACAGTCGAGAAAGAAAGAGTGCGTTCGTGTGTAGTCGGTATGGCGAGAGGTCAAGAGGGTTTGGCGTTGTATTTGGACAGAAGCAGGCGATGACAGAGGAGGTCGCTAAGAAAGCCAAAACGGGAGACAACAGAACATGACAAACGGGGATAAGACGACGTGCATTAAAGAGCGGAGAACAGCATCATAGTACAATGGGCGCCGCCTGCACTCCATTCGCTCTTGCCGTGGAGAGCAACAGGCCCCACCAGTAGCCTTCTCAAAAAGAGAGGTGCAACTGTGGCGGGCCGCGCTAGCGCCGGCCCATGTGGCTTCCTGGTCAAAGGGAAGGAACGAAGCAAAGCGTACTCACTACGAGCCAGTACGACAGAAGGTTACTAATTAGCAAAGGTCCGTTTGCCTGTTTGGAGGCGAGTTTATGCTTGCAGCTTGGTTTGCGGTGATTTCCATCTTCCCCAGAGCTGGGGCGCAACGGTGCACCCAAAAGAGGAGATCCTGCATATCCGCAGCTCCCTGTCGATATGGGACTAATAAACAATAAAGAGCAGGAAAGGAGTGCGTCCATGAGACAAGGTCATATAACAGGGTTTTAATAAAAGTGAATGACCTATGGCTGTATCCGGGGATGTCGTACCCATTGATATATCACATAAAAATCACCACATAATGACAATGAGATAGTAAACAAGTAGAATCGAGTTTTGTATCCAGCACTGTTTTGCTCCAATCAACACCAGACAAAGTCGACAAGAAAATAAGAGCAATAGAAAGCCCACCTCCGTAATCTCCTCGCCATGCACCAAACATGCCTTAATGGGTTCTTTGCTGACCCAAAATACCTCATCATCTGCGTCGTATTTAGAATACGAAAGCAACAGAGTCAACCCGGCTGCAAGACAAAGGAAAGAGACAAGAATGAATGCAAGTACAAGAACCAAAGACACCGAGAGACCGAGAAACCGAGAAACCGAGAAACAGAACGCTGCCCGACAAAATGAGAAAGACACAAGATTAAACCAAGGATAGTTGAACTGAAGAGAGGCACTACCTAGTTATCTCCCTCGTCCAAGAAACCTGCCACCTTTTGTTGTATGCGGCGTGCTGTCGACAGGTTGAAAGAAGGAAACATTGAAAAAACAAAAGAGTGTGTGCGGGAGGAACGCCTATGCGAAATGAACAGGTTTTTTGTGTATAAAATAAGCGAAAAGACATATAAAAAAATGTTGAGAAAGAGTATACCAAAATGTGCAATGCCTGCAATGTGATCCACGAAAAAAGAGGACACAAGAAAGCGGGCCGAAAGTCCCCGACAAAAAGACAGAGCAAACAACACAAAGAAAAAAAAGAAAGAAACGATTATCCCACCAGATGCTCCTCGGGTCGTCATGTCTTCGTCATGCTCCCGCATGTAAATAGTGTGAAGAATGTTGGGTTGTTGTTATGCTTTGCAAAAGGTACATCAAATGTATTGTTATTGTATCAGGATAGTGTACACGCCCCCCAAGTCGAAGGGCTTGTTATTGTATGCGCTCGGTACCGTCTTTTGTTATTAATTCGCACGCAGATGTTGGCCAACCGGCTCTGACAGGCGCCCGGTATGTGCGATTCAAACTAAAGTGATACTCGACAACGCAGCGACTAGGCGTGCCCGTCGCGCATGCGGATTCGTCGCGCACACTGGTAGCGGCAGAGGGATAAATAGGGAGACGTCGTCAACCAGCGGGGTATAATGTTAGTCGCGGAAGAACGACCCGTTGTATTATGGAGGTCGTGATTTAGCTGGTAGGTAGGTGCTCCCGGATTGAGATTTATCAGCTTCACCTAAAGTTGATTACCGCCAACTGGATATGGTTAGCACGTCGTAAGCCAAGCAACAAAATAAATCAAAGACACTCGATATAAAACGTACCCGATTGTTGACGCCATACGCCAGTTTCTGTCCAGTCGCATCCCAGCACAGACAGTGTGTGTCCTCGTCATCGCCGTCGTTGTTCAGCCTCGGGCTGTGCCAGCCGGGGTGCGGTTCGCGTCGCCAGCTGGCCCGCGGAATTGCGTGGTCGCCGACCTTCCAGATCAGAATCCGATCCGGCGTCGCACCCGCAATGAACGCACCGTCGGGCGTGAACGCGACTGCCATGACCGGCAGATCCATAGTCATGGAGCATTTTGGCTTGCTGTCGGGCAGGCGTGCGTTCCAGATGGTGATCGCACCGTCCTCGCCTCCCGAGGCGAGTAACCGTTCGTCATCAGGAGCGGTAGTGGACTGCAGGGGCTGCCATGCCAGTGATGTGATGAGGCCGATGTGCGCCGATATCGTGCGTCGTTCACCGTTCTCGTCCCAGAGGTCAATCACGCCTCGTTCACTGGCTGTCGCGGCAATTCGAGATAGCGGGTCGTACTGGACAGTCGTGAAGCGTTCGTCCTTGCCCGTGTTGAAGGTCCGAGCTGGGACAATGCCATTCTCCGTCACGGAGAACGCAGCGAGAAGATCACCACCACAAACCAAAAAGCTGGTCTCGCTTGTCCAGGCCACGTCAAGAGGATCGCCACTCAAGTCGTGGTCCTTGAGCAGGTACGACGACACGCCCGCGGCCAAAGCTGAGAACACAGTCACCAGGGTACCGCTGCCCTCGGGAGCGACGCCGAGGATGGACGTGCCGTTGGGATGCCACCGCAGCTTTATGACAGGCGGTTCGCGGACGTTGTACTGGTGCAGCAGCGTGCCATCGGGAGACCAAATGCCAACGCGGGATTTGCTGCCTGCCTCCGTGGCTAGTGCAATGGAGGTTCCGCTAGGGTTCCAGGCCAAGGCTGTGACCGTGGAATGTTGTGCACCATCCTCGTCCACAAGGTCCTTGTACGACTTGTCCAGCCCGTTCACGTGATCGGTCACGGGTTCACCAGCACGCGAGATGGTCCAAATGCGGGCTAGCGCATCTGTTCCGGCAGCCGCCAAAACGGCTGGATTGGTTGGGTTCCACTCGCAATGCAGGACAATGGGGTTTTCGTGACCGGGCTGCTGCGACTCCAGTATGCTGTTGGTGTCCGCGACAAAATCGGGTGCCAGCCGCAAAAATGTCGTATCGGGTGCCAGCTCCTCGACTTTGTCGACTTGGGTGCCTTGCTCTGGACCATCCGTACGCGGTACGGGTGTTGATGCGGGTTCACGTTCCATTGGTGATGGGTATGCATGCTGGTTTTCGTTCCCGTCAATGTCCATAGGTGTAGATTGCGCAGTATGCGCAGCGTCTGCGCTGGACACCGTTGCATCGTGGCCATTACTCAAGCGCTGCTTTTTAGCGGGTGATCCATTTTGCTGCGGCTGCTGCTTGATGTCGATTTGGCGCTTTTTCGTGCCATCCGCATCGTCGGCCGGTGGCGGTAATGCTGGGGCCGCCGGTAATGTGCTGTTGGGAGTGGAGTTGGCGGCGGAAGGTGTGATGATGTCGGTGGCAGTAGCGGATGTATGCGGCGCGGGTGCACCGGCGACGGGAGCCGACGCGGTAGCAGAGGCAGGTCTGCCCTCGACCGCCGCGTCCCGGGGTTCCTCTTTGTGGAACGGTGGCGGTTGTGTGATGAGAGGCCCGAAGATCCCCTTAGGTTGGGCGGACGTTTCTGTTGCCTATATATTGTGTGAGAAGGAACATATAGATTAAATGTGCAGACAAGCGTCGAAGCGCTATGAGTTGGATAACAAGGCACATACCGAGACCAGCTGTTCTGAGTAGGATCTTTCAAGAGCCAAGAGATTCAGACCCTTGTTGACGACATTCACGAGCGCGCGGGTTCTGACATATGGCGCAAAGTCAAGCTCACGGTGCGGCGCCTGCACGTGCCATTCTTTTTGGAACTTGGCAGCAGTGTCGCGGAAGTCTGTCGTGGTTAGTTGTTGTGCGCAAAGGGGAACGAACGCAGCCACAGTCTAGCATGAAGCATGGCGGTGAGAGGTCCTTGATCACGGTCACGAAACAAGGTTAAGAGGCGCAGGTGGAGCGCGAGAGGGTTGCAGCATTCTTGTGCAAACGAGACGGTAGACGGGCAGACACAGGAGCAGGGCAGTGGGACGAGACGGATTGACTGCAGGCAATGAGGTAAAGAAAAGTTACATACTTCCTTCAAGAAGGTACCTGTTCGGATTCGACCCGCGTTAGCATTTAGACCTCTGTTGGGGGGTCACAATCGTGAATTGAGATGTAGAAACAAGGACGCGAAGCGTGAGGGCAAGTGGCAAAAGCAAGTTGGGGTAAGGTCCAGGGGGGCTGCAGCGAGAGAGCGGAACGCGCAACGATCAACTCGCGCACGCGCAGCATGACAATCACAAAAAGGAGGTGCAAAGTCGAACAAGTACAAGCTAGAACAACGCGAAAGGTGGATTAGGGTGGTGGACGAACCTCCAGACGAGGAAATTGAGTCGATCACTGTCCAGATACTCCTTCATGGTGGGCGACAGGGCTGGCGGACAGCCAGAAAAAGGAGATTGGAAAGTAACGATGGAGAGTGGCGAGCGGTGACAAAAAGCAGACGAGTGCCGAGACTAGAGAGTGTGAACGCGAGCCTCAAGAAGCGGGAGCCCAGCCGGCAGGTGGGCGGAGATAGCGGGCAAAGACACGCGGTGGTGGCGTAGGCGGAAGTTGTATGTTGTGGTGTTCGGTGGTGGGTGCGACGGGTGAGGCTGTAGCAGTAGAATCCAAAAGGGGCTGAATGCAAGATCTGTCGCGGTCGGTTCGCGATCGCAAAGGTCCGGCCGGGGGGGCGTGGTGACGTGGAGCGGATGTCAAGGAGACGGGTGACGCTGCAGAGACGAACTTGGAGATGTGTTGGAGGGAGAGAAAAGACGGCGCAAAATGGTCCTGGCGTTCCAAAATAGGACGAATGAAAGAAATCAGATCTTGAAAGGGGGGTGGCGCCGCAGGGGGGCAGAGAACAAAAAAATGACGGGCGTGAAACGGCCACAACTGCGGGCAGATGCCAGCTGACGAAGTCGGACAGTTACAACACAACGTTAAGAAATGATATTGGGGGGGACGGGGGTGTATGAAGACGAAAGAAGCTTGGATATGTTACGATGAGAGGGAGTGCAGGAGAAGTTGAAGCTGGGCAGAGTGCGCGTGTCGTTGACGTGCACACAAAACAGTGGATAAGGGAAGGAAGGAAAGGGTGTCTTGGAACAGGAAAGAGCAGATACGATGGTATGGGGAAGAAGAGGAAGGAGAGATCAAAAATGGAAAGAGCGAAGAAGAAACGCAAAGGTGGAGGAGAATGGAAAGGCAGGAGCAATGGAGAGGCGAGCGCGCGAAAAAAAACTAGCTGGGAAGCAAAGCCGCCTGCGGGACGAGACTAGGAATAGAAAGCTACGGCGTGGGTGCTAGTCACTGCTGCAGATGGGCGGTATCCAGTAGCGGCGGCAGAGAGAATCAACATTCGATGCGTGGGACGGGACTGGGCTGGGTGACAAGAGGCTGTTTTAGGCGGCCAAGACAATGGGGTGTGGGCGCGCAAGGACACGGCGGTGCCTTCTCGGGCCTTGCGCGTGAGATGACAGGCTACTGGCCACGAAGGCAAGAGCGAACGGATCGAAAAGAAACACGCAGTGAGAGAGACGGGATGGGGACAGGAGGAATGTGGCAGGAACGGCCAGCCAGGTGGTAATAATGAGGAAGGCACAAGAAAAACAGGGGATCTTCCACCTGGTAGGGACAGACAATGAAAGGAACATGGATCTTTGGGGGAAAGAAGGGGGGCGTGTGGACGTGTGGGTGGTGTGGGTGTGGTGAGTTGGAACATTCTCCGGAGCCCGTCCACAGTTTGTGTTGGGTGGGGAGGGGGGAACCACGCAAGGGCCAGGGAATGCAGAAAAGGAAAGACCAGAAACAGCATGCGAAAGGGAAGGAGCAATCCAAACACACGCAACAGGGGCGCCAGGTCGCGGTGGTGTGCAGCATCGACTTTCAATGTCGGTGGGGAATAATAATGTTCAGTCCAGCCCAGTACCTGAGGTGCAGGCCACCCAGTCCGGCTCGTTCGCCGCAGGCCAGCAGTCGAGACCAGCCAGACGAGGCCAGGCTTTGGAGACTAGTGCCGGTGTTTTCTAATTGGCGCGTAGGAGTACCCTGAGTGCCGCCAGCATAAGCTAGATCTACAAGTACTGCTACATTGAAATATGTGACGAAAACAAAGATAGTGGCAGGCGACCAATTCCACAAGATTAGCAATGGCTTTATGATTCACGCTAAAACTCCAGACAAAAAGGCCCGCAGCGCTCCTACTCCGTTAGAAACGCGGCAGAAGGGCAGAATTGGCAACGATTGGTGAGAGGCTCCATTGGTCCTTGCTATTGGTATAGTGCAGTACGGAATAGCGCACCGCGGTGTGTTACAAAAGATCACGCGCTGATACCCCATAATCTCATGATACACCATTTCGAGGCCCATGTACTAATTTGGTGTACGCCCACACAGAGAGTACTTCGTCATAACTTGCTTCAACGAGAGGCGTAGGTGCGAAACAAAGGAAGGGGAAATGAAAAGACAGGGCGGTTTGGTCAAAATGTTACACGCGGTGACCAGGTCGGGCCACCGTCTCTTTCATTCATCTTCGAGGTTTCGGACAGGATAAACACCTGTTGTCGCTATTTTCTCAGCGCTGTTTCTTCTCCTCTCGGTGGCAAAAGCCACAGAAAGTATTCTTCCAGGTCCGTTTCTTTGTCGACAGGTAACATCACCTAAGACGGTTTCGTTTTCTCTGGTACGTCCTCAACAGCGTTTGGCGTAGTATGTTTCTATGGTCTGTGTCTCTACGTACCAAAGAAAGTCCCTCAACATGCCAGATGCGCTTTTTTTTAGCACGACAGGCGGTATTGATCGCGGGAAGGGGCTGTTGCTGTATGACATTTCTCCCCACCTCGTTGTCCTCGCCTTCTCCTTCTTTCCTTGTTTCATGGTTTTGGGAAGCAGTTGGGTCCGGCAGCCGGCAGCAAACGCTGATTGGTCCCCGCCTCCTGTTCGGCATGCCTCACAATTAATGGAATAATATTGGCCGTACAAATAAAGCAAAACCGAAATAAGGAATTACTGATTCAGATACGGTAGAGGGTACGAAATCAACCCGTGGTGGAAACGAGGCATCGAACAGCGAGAAAATGGCCCGGGTGGTAGCCCATGTCCCATGTTTCAGGGATGATTGGACCTGGCCAGGCCACACCTGCAAACACATTCAGCGGACAGGGTGCGTCAAGGCGTGCAAGTACCATCTGCACATTATTTTGCGTCAGTGGTACTTGCATCTCTCAACACGATGCCCCGGATATAACCAACCCCATGTATGCCACTTTTTGGCGCACGCGCATTGTGCCCGATTGTGATCTGACATGCGGTACGGACAAAGATACGAAATACTTACGGGTTCGTACCTCGCACAAGTACGAGTATTTGCGCATGTCTTCATCCGCACTAGCAGCTTGCAGAAATCCATAAGGAGGGGCTGTAGACGTGTTCAGATAGCCTCACCGACAATCTAAAATAAGGTCAAGCCAGTGCCAGGCGTCAACGTGAAGCAACATAAAGATCCGAGAGACAAAGAAACCCCCGACCTCCACAAAACAGGCTACCATCCAAATGTCATCATTACCAGCCCGATTCTGGACGTAAACGATAGGTCAACAGCTGCCCAGTCTTTTCCTTCTTTCCCTCCATTTATTTTGAGCACTCGTCTTCCAATGCTCTGGCGCCAAAAGAAACCCCATAAAGTGCAACCAAAGCCATATCAATTGAAAAATAAGGGGGTCAGAGAGCCACCATCCATACGGTATGCTCATGAAAATAAGCGGGTCCAGTCGGGCCCATATTTCTGTCGATGACTCTGTGAGCTGGGCTATATTCGCTGTCCGTCGCATTTGCGCAGGCTCTCCATGTTCAGTACAAGGAAACGCCATTCTGGACGTTCTCTCCATTTCCAACAGCAGGCCCTCTTCGAGCCAAGTCCATTTCTCCTCCCGTACGTCGACATCAGCTAGAATTACCCTTGGGCTCCGCAAGAAGAGTCACCAAAGGTATGCTTCTGGCTTTTGGGTGGAGGGAGGAGCCATGGAACCTTGAAGAGGAGGCTTCCGGGAAGAGAAGACACCACCCAAAGAAACTTATTTGGCTGACCCGCACCACGCGAGCACCAAAAGGCTAGGCCTTGTAGGAAAACAGGGAGACTTCCTGCGACAACCGCCGGATACAGCCTGCCATTAGTAATTACATACTACCACAAGCTGCAGCACGAATCGACTGTGTTGGTGTGTGGTGGGTGAAGTTGGTGTGGCCGAGGGTGAATTTCGACGTGGATCTCCAAGTCCCCACATAGGACGACGTTTTAAGCCTCTGTCGTTCCATGTCTGCCCGTTTCGCCTACGGACCGGTTGAATGGCTGACTCTTGGACAAAGACAAGGCCTCTAATGCCGTTTCACACCCACGATTTGGCCCTGTATGTGACCTGGGCAAAAAGCCCTCGTCTCGCTCTTTCTGTAGACTCCAAACACGACCCTATTTGCTCTTGGCAAAGGGTACGATGCTTTGAGCAAGAGAGGCCAGTGGCCGGAGAGAGTCGAGAGAAACACCTTGAAAAGTCGCCACACACGAGACCAGTTGCATTCGACGGAGAATTGTTGGATCTGTCTTCGCAGTGCGGCACGCACAGATTCCATGGTTTGCCGGCCATTTTACTTCCCTCTGGCCGTTGTTCTTTGGTAGGTCCACCCGCTGGTTCGTTAGGCTGCGTTTTTCTGTGCCACTTTCTGCTTGGCAGCGCCAGCTGGCTACATGCTTAAAACAGGAGGACGGTGCAGTGGCCAAGCCGGATACTGGTCCGTGCGTCTTCACGAAAACCCGCTGTTCGCGTTGGATTGAGACAGCGTATGCAATGGAACGGTTAGGGGCTGGTTGGGCCACACAGGGTCGATGCTACGGGGAGCAGCCGAGAGATGTCAAGCTATGGAGTATGTAGTACTTCAAAACGTACCACTAACTCGTTGAAGATGCAAGTCACCCCCCTCTTCCTCACCCATTAACGCCGGGCCAGCCTCACATTTCCAGAGCCTTAGTCATCACTCTCTTCCCGGTTATCTTCAGTGCAGCCCCTGCCCCTTTTTGTCCAGCCTTGGCGTGCGCACATGGAGCAGGCGCTGTCTGCCATCTTGATGCCTAAGGCTGCCATGAATCCCCTACCTGCCCTCGTTGGCTCAGGTTTGGTGGCCGACCGGCCCGCTTTTTGCATCGCTCAAACCAAGCTTCGAGAAGCCACTTCATACGCGCATACGTGCGTGGTTCATTTTTAACCTCACCCCGTGTCCCTCTGTTTGGCAATCCTTTTTTTTATGTTTTTCCACGCTCTTGTGCCGACCACCACCACGTGATCGATAAGCTTACATTTTACGGCGATTTTTCGAAAACCGTCCCGGGGCAAGAACGACAACCGCGACCAACTAGGCAGCTACGATCAACACTCCTTCCCCTAATCGTGACCATTCTATTTCCCTCTTGGCGCCTTCCATCCTCCCCGCGGCCGGTCCAACGTCTTTCGCCTTCTTCTCGCGGCGCCTCCCCGTGCTCTGCTCTTCTTTTCCGCATCCACCTCTACCCTCGCAGCCGCCGCCATGCCGCCGCGGCTCAACCTCCCGCCGGTGACGCGCATCGCCCTCGGCGTGCTCGTCGTCCAGTCCGTCCTCAGCGCCGCCATCCGCTACCGCCAGTGGACCGCCCAGTCGCACATTGTCATTCCCTACCTCAATCTTATTCCCCAGCTGTCCATCATCTACCCATGGACATTCTTAACGACAACGCTGGTTGAGAGCAATATCTTCACACTCGGCATTGCCTGCGTCACACTGCACCAGGGCGGCCGCTACCTAGAGCGCGCCTGGTCCTCGCGCGAGTTCGCCAAGTTCCTGCTCGTCGCCAGTCTGATCCCCAACCTTTTGACGTTTGGTGCCCTCGTTCTCTTGTTCTCCATCACCCAGGACGAGAACTGGACGTATGTTTCTCCTTTGCTTTCCTCCTCCATTTTTCACTGGGCGCCGTAATACTAACGTTGCCCTCTCTCTCTCACACACACACAGCCTGACATCGGTCGCCGGCACCATCCCGCTGCAAATTGCTTTCCTCGTCGCCTTTAGCCAGCTCGTGCCCGCGCACACCGTCACACTCTTCCGCGGCATTCTGTCTCTGCGCGTGCCCCTTTTCCCCCTGCTCTACCTCGTCGCCGTCATCGCCCTCTCCCTCACCCCGATCCTGACCGCCGCTTCCACCTTCCTCGCCGTCTTCAGCTTCCTCACCAGCTGGACCTACCTGCGCTTCTACAAGTCCGCCTTCCCTGACCTCGACGTCTCGCAGGGCCCGTCGCTGCGCGGCGACGCCAGCGAGACGTTTGCCTTTGCCGAGTTTTTCCCGGCCCCCGTCAAGCCCGTCGTGGCCGCCGTTGCCGACGCCGTCTTTGGCATCTTGGTGGCCGTGCGCATCTGCACGCCGTTCTCTGCCGCCGACATCTCGGCGCGTGCTGCTGCCGCTGCTGCTGCTGGCGGCGACGGCTACAACATGCACCATGGCGGCCACCACGGCCAGCGAGGCGGCCCTGGCGGTACCCGCGCCGAGGCCGAGCGACGACGCGCCCTGGCGCTCCGGGCTCTGGACCAGCGGCTGCACGTTGCCGCGGCCAATGCCGCAACACGCCATGGTGGCGCAGCCGGCGCTGGTGCCGGTGGTGCTACGGCCACGGCCGGCCCGTCATCGGCATCTGTGGCACCCGCTGCGGCCGAAAGCTCGACGCCCGCGCCTGCGACGACTGGCCCGACGGTCCAGACACAGCCGCTGTCCAGGACACAGGCGACCATGACGACGGCGGCCTCGTCAGGCAGTGCTGGCATGCTGGGCGAGACGAACTACGTCCCTGATCACGACAGCGACAAGTCGTGAGGCATGGGCGTCGATACGATTTCTTTTTTATTTTTCTTCAAAATTCTTCTCAAATTTTATTTTTGCAAAGCCAAAGTGGCTACGTACGTCAATGAGATCTACTAATTATATAGAAGCGGAGGGAAGGATCGTATCGATATGG